CACATGGAACATTTTCCAAAATAGACCATGTGCTAGGACACAAAACATACCTCAGTAGAATCAGGAATATAGAAATAGTATCAACGATCTTTTCAGACCACGATGCACTGAGAATAGAAGTGGACACACAGTCATGAAGAACCAAATCAAACACCTGGAAATTAAACAACTCAATGTTGATCAACAAGTGGGTCAGGAAGGAAGTCAAGGACGAAATCAAAAGATACCCGGAAACAAATGAGAATGAAGACACGAGCTACTAGAACCTATGGAATGCAGCTAAAGCCATGTTAAGGGGAAAATTTATAGCTCTGCAAGCATTTCTCAGAAAGGAAGAAAGGGCCCACATAAACAACTTGACTTCACAGCTCAAGATCTTAGAAAAGGATCAACAAAAGGAGCCCAAATAAGGCAGAAGGAAAGAGATCATAAAACTTAGAGCAGAAATCAATAGCATGGAAACAAAAAAAGCAATCTGAAACATCAATGAAACCAGGAGGTGGTTCTTTGAGAAAATAAACAAGATAGATAAACCACTAGCAAGACTCACAAAGAAGAGAGAGAGAGAGAGAGAGAGAGAGAGAGAGAGAGAGAGAGAGAGAGAGAGAACCCTAATAAACCAAATCAGAAATGAGAAGGGGGATATCACAACAGAAACCAAAGAAATTCAAAAGATCATCAGAGACTACTTTGAAAGTCCGTATGCCACGAAACAAGAGAACCTGGAAGAAATGGATAAATTCCTGGATTCCTATAATATCCTAAGGCTGAATCAATAAGATCTAGAGTATCTGAATAGACCTATTAACATCAAGGAAATTGAAACTGTAATCAAAAGTCTTCCCCAAAACAAAAGCCCAGGTCCAGATGGATTCACTAGCAAATTTTTTCAAACATTTAAAGAGGACCTATTGCCAGTTCTACCTAAGCTTTTCTACCTCAGGAAATTGAAAAAAACAGAAACTCTCCCAAACAGTTTCTATGAAGTCCATATCTCTCTAATACCAAAAGGAAGCAATGACACCACAAGAAAAGAAAATTACAGGTTGATATCCCTGATGAACACGGATGCAAAGATTCTCAACAAAATACTAGCAAATAGAATTCAACAACTCATCAAAAAGATCATACACCATAACCAAGTGGGTTTCATCCTGGGGATGCAAGGATGTTTTAACATTAGGAAATCAATCAACATAATCCATCATATCAACAAAAGAAATGATAAAAAACATATGATCATATCAATAGATGCAGAGAAAGTATTTGACAAGATCCAGCACCCGTTTTTGATGAAAAACCTCGCCAAAATGGGTATAGAGGGGACTTTCCTCAATATAGTTAAAGCAATCTACCACAAGCCTACAGCAAGCATCATCCTCAATGGGGAAAAACTGAGAGCCTTTCCTCTAAGATCAGGGATGATACAAGGATGCCCACTCTCCACTGCTGGTCAATATAGTACTGGATGTACTTGCAATAGTGGTTAAGCAAGAAAAAGATATTAAGGGCATTCAGGTAGGAAAGGAAGAAATCAAGCTCTCACTGGTCGCAGATGATATGATTCTATACTTAGAGAACCATAAAACCTCTACCAAGAAACTCCTAGAAACAATAGACTTGTATAGTAAAGTTGCAGGCTATAAAATCAATACCCAAAAGTCCATGGCTTTCCTATATGCAAATAGTGAAAGAGAAGAAAGTGACATGAAAAAAAATCCCGTTCACAATTGTGCCCCAGAAAATCAAGTACCGAAGAATCAGCTTAACTAAGGAAGTAAAAGACCTCTACAAAGAAAACTACAAAACGCTACTTCAGGAAATAAAAGAGTACATGAGAAAATGGAAAGATATCCCCTGCTCATGGATCGGGATAATTAACATTGTTAAAATGGCAATACTTCCCAAAGCATTGTACAGATTCAATGCGATCCCTATAATGATACCCATATTCTTAAAAAAAATGGAGCAAACACTCCATTCATATGGAACAATAAGCTCCCACGAATAGCTAAAGCAATTCTCGGGAAAAAGAAAATGGGAGGAATGAACCTCCCTAACTTTAAACTCTACTACAAAGCAGTAATAATTAAAACAGCATGGTACTGAAACAAAGGCAGAGTTGCAGACCAATGGAACAGGGTTGAATATACTGACATCTCCCCCGAAACATATGATCATCTAATCTTTGATAAGGGAGCAAGAAATGTGAAGGAAAAGGAAAGGAAAGCCTCTTTAACAAATTGTGCTGGCAAAACTGGACAGCTACATGCAAAAAAATGGGCTCAGATCTTTGCCTAACACCACGTACAAAAGTAAGATCAAAATGGATTAAAGACCTCAACATCATACCAGAATACATAAGGTACATTGAAGACAAGGTTGGCAAAACCCTCCACAACATTGAAGCTAATGGTATCTTCAAAGATGTCACACCACTGGCCAAGCAAGTGAAAACTGAGATAGACAAATGGGACTATCTTAAACTAAGAAGCTTCTGCACCTCAAAAGAAACAGCGACCAAAATACATAGTCTACAGAATGGGAAAGGATATTCGCCCAATACCCATCCGACAAGGGGTTGATATCAAGGATATACAGAGTACTGGTTGAAATCCACAAGAAGAAAACATCCAACCCCATTTAAAAATGGGGCAACAAAATGAACAGAAACTTTCTCAAAGAAGAAATCTGAATGACAAAAAGGCACATGAGAATATGCTCTACATCATTAACCATCAGGGAGATGCAGATCAAAACAACAATGAGACAATCATCTCACACCAGAGAGACAGGCCTACATCCAAAAGAACAAAAGCAACCAGTGTTGGTTTGGGTGTGGTAAGAAAGGGACCCTCCTTCACTGCTGGTGGGAATGCAGACTGGTTCAGCCCTTTTGGAAAACAGTATGGACAATTCTCAAAAAATTAGAAATTGAGTTCCCATTTGACCCAGCAATACAACTCCTGGAAATATATCCCAGGGAGGCAAAAAAGTACAGTCAAAGTAACATCTGCACTTGTTTGTTCATTGCAGCACTGTTTACAATAGCCAGAATCTGGAAAAAATCTGAGTGCCTGAGAACAGATGACTGGTTAAAGAAACTTTGGTACATCTACACAATTGAGTAATATGTAGCTGTTAGAAAAGATGAAGTCATGAAATTTACATACAAGTAGTACTACATGGAAAGTATCATGCTAAGCGAATTGAGTCAGAAAGAGAGGGACAGACATAGAAAGATTGCATTCATCTGGGGAACAAAAAGTAACAAAATAGGAGACTAACACCCAAGAATAACCGAGATTAGTACCAGGAATTTTGCTCCATGGCTTGGAGACCAGTCACACATGATAGGGGAAAAGGCAGCTCAGATAGAAAAGGGAGCACCAAATAAAGGGTGTTGGGAGGATTCTTCCAAGATGGGAGATGCATGCTGAAAGTAGACTATAGACTTAACATGATTGCCACTCAATGCCTCTTTTGCAAACCACAGCACCTAAAAGGAGAGAGATAACAAAAGGGAACGCCCTGCCACAGAGGCAGGGTAGGATTGGGGGGATGCGGGGTTGGGAGGGATACTGGGATCATTGGTGGCGGAGAATGGGCACCGGTGGAGGGATGGGCACTTGATCATTGTATAACTGAAACCCAAGCACAAAAATTTGTAAGTCTGCAACTGTACCTCATGGTGTCTCAATAATAAAAATTAAAAAAAAAAGCAAACAAGTTAAGTTGGATTCTTGGCGAATTGGTTTTCCTTGCCCTCTGTTCTCTAACCATTTGGAATGACCCTTATTCTTTAAACAGTTCTTGTTGCAGTTAAGGTACTGTGTTTATAACATTGTTAATGAATATGGTATTGATGTATAGGGACTACACCTATCAGCATCAAAATGTGCATTAAACCTGTCTTAATGATTTTATATTACATCTAGCCATCCTCATCCTCCCTCCCTGCTCTATCAATCCCTACTGATGGTTGTTCTGAGTTTTGTAATCCAAAGTCAAGGGTTTGTCTCTTCTAAATGCCACTAAAGCAGTGTTACCATGTGTGAGAAGCTCTTGAACCAGAATGTGGGGCCCATGGAGGCCAATTCTAGCCTGGCGAAACTTGCACTTGTGTCCTGGACATGGGTCCACTAACATCCTGCTGACGGGGAGTTTTCAAAGTTTGCCAGAGGTGGTTCTCTGAGAATTCAGAGGAGTTAGACATGATATGACAAGAGAAGGCTTTAAGGAAGAGAAAACATTTGAGTTCAACTTTGAAGAAGGATTTAGAAGCAGAAAGGTTAGAGGTGGAGCCGGAGTAATAGTACAGAGGGTAGGGTATCTGCCTTGCATGTGGCTGACCCAGGGTTCAATCCCTAGTGTTTCATATGGTTCCCAGAGCAGGAATAATTCCCCAGAGCAGAGCCAGGAATAACCCCTGAGCATTGCCGGGTGTGACCAAAAGGAAAAAAAGAAAGTTTTAAAAAAGAAAGGTTAGATGAAACACATTCTAGCCCCAGTAAGTAAAGATTTGGGGAACATTTGGGACCCCCAGCAGGGTAGATGAGCAGTTCAGCTGGGCTCAGTATCGTCATGTTGTGTGAATCAGTGTGAATGAACATAATTATGGGAGGGAGTAATAAAGGATGATCAAACATTTAGAGTTGGGAGACCAACTAGTAAGGAACATTAATGAAGTGAGCTCAAAGCATAGCTAAATTTTATGGTCTACTATATTAAAAAATTTTGCATTTTCAATACATTTCCAGTGATATTGCTGCTGCTGCTACTGCTGCTGGGACTGACTCCCATCGAATCTCAGTGCCTGTAGGTGGGGATCCAAGGGGTCCTCTGAATAAGGCAGTGCCTGATGGTTGGGGAACCCGGAAAATGGCCCTTGACAGAAGTAATGATGAGTTCCGTAGGGCGTTCCTGTGCTCAAAGGTGCTTTTGATTGCCGCATGCCAAGGAAAAGTCTTTATTTGTTGACTGACTCCTTTGTTTTTCAGATGACTCTATTTCCTGGGTCAGTGCAGAAAGCTTATGGATTTTGGGTAGATACATGGTTCACCTTCCATTTGAAGAAATTAAGAAAATAAGTCCTATAGAAGTAAGTTGGAAAAGTTCATTTATCTGTCCTCATTATAAATACACGTGGCACTAAGATGTAGTCTTAATTTTACTTTTGTGAATTTGTTTTGTTTGGGGGCCACATCTGGCAAGGCTCTGGAGTTATTCCTGGATCTGCATTCAGGAACCACTTCTGGCAGTACTCAGGGGACCAGATGGGATGCTGGGGATCAAACCCAGGTTGGCTGCATGCAAAGCAAGTGCTTACCCACTGTTCCATTTCTCTGGCCCCTAAGATGTATACGTGTGTGTGTGTGTGTGTGTGTGTGTGTGTGTGTGTGTGTGTGTGTGTGTAGTGGAATATGAACCCCTAAGCTATACTTAACCTTCACATTCATATAGCCAATAAGAGGCACCGGAAATTGGTCACTCAACTTCAGCCCATACATCTTGTGTTTCTCAAGAAAATTCTCGAAAAAAGATCATAGCGGGTTGGTCATTGACCTGTGCTCTAGTGGTAGAGAGCAATAGCAAGAAAAAGCATGTGACCACCAAGATTGCGCTCTGATGTGCATGGAGTGTGATATAAGGAAAATGAGGGGTAAGAACCCCAAATCACATAAACCAAGGACAATGGCTATAGAGTTTCCAGACCTTTAGAGCCTGAACCCAGATGAAAAGCCACATTGATGAGTAGCACTGCTGGTCCTAGTCACTCCTGTTGACAGCACTTACTTATGAGCAGGATTAGATTTGGATGTTAGTATTTGAAGTAGAGAATACACATCTCTGAAGGCTCCTGACCGGAGGGTCTACCTGTCATTAACTTAAGGATACTGCAGCCCCTTGGATATCCTGGTCTGGAACATGGTGTTTATTTATTTGATTTTTAAAAATTAATTTTGGGGACCTCCCAAGCAGTGGTCATGAGGCCTAGTGGTCATTCCTACAACCCTTAGTCTAACTCTTTGGGCCTCAGCTGTGCAGACCTGGCAATATGGCATTGGAGGGCCCAGTGGTGCTGAGGTTATACACAGTCGTGCTCCAGGGGCCCTGAGGGGTCATGTATTGAACTTGGGTCCTCAACACGCAAGCCCTCCGGACCATCTTCCAGATCCTGTTCCCCCCACCTCGTTTTTATCCTGTGTACCCTGGCAGTAAGAGAAGCGTTCACATCCAGTAGCTTATTCAAGCAGCAGATAACCAACCATCTTTGACTTAGGATGCTGGGAATATTTCAAGTGTCTTCTTCATTTTATAAGCAGTGGACCTCCGTTTGACATTCCTGGTTAAGCAGTAGAGGTTCATTCAGAGGAATGTGGGTGGCTCATGGGGAATTTCTAAGATGGCAGCCATTTGCAAATTTTCTTTATTACCTGGGAATGCAGGGAAGAAATGGCAAGGTACAGGGTAGTCTGGTCAAGCTACCAATACCCAGAGGGTTTTTCCTTTATGGACAAAAAGTACAATTCATGAAATACGGCCTACTTTCTGAGCACAAAATGACTGTCATGGGTATGGAGTGATAGCATAGGGGGGAGGGTGTCTGCCTTGCACACAGCAGCCCGGGTTTTGTCCCGGACATCCCTTATGGTCCCCTAAGCACCACCAGGAGTAATCCTTGAGTATCACTAGGTCTGGATCAAAAATACAAAGGAACAAGAAACAAAAACTGGATGATTATGCTGAAAGCAGGGATTTCAATCCAGGGCAGGACACTGTTAGACATACAAGCAAGGTGGACAAACATAGAAAGAATCTGAATGTGTTCAACAAAGTTGAATAGATGTGTATCATCTGTGGGTGGATACACAGCTAAATGTTTATAAACATTAAATACGTGTCTTTTCTCACCTGAAAACCATTTATAAACTTCATCTCTGAAAAGAAACAACCGAAGTTGAACATTTGTGGATTGCTTCCTCTGACCTTCATATAACAAGTCTAGATATAAACAAGCTTTTATATACAAGACACCTATACCTCGGGCTGGAGCCATAGCACAGTGGGGAGGGTGTTTGCCTTGTGCGTGGCCGACCCGGGTTCGATTCCCAGCATGCTATATGGTCCCCTGAGCACCGCCAGGAATAATTCCTGAGTGTTAAGCCAGGAGTTACCCCTGTGCATCGCTGGGTGTGACCCAAGAAGTCAACCCCTCCCCGCAAGACACCTATACCTAAAGGCACTTTGAGAAATTCCACTGCTCAGATGTTAAAAAACAGCAATACTAGGGGCAGAGTGACGGCACAGTGGGGAGGGCACTTGCCTTGCACATGTCCCACATGGGTTTTGATCCCCAGCATCCCATATGGTTCTCTGAGCACCACGAAGAGTGATTCCTGAGTGCAGAGCCAGAAATAACCCCTGAGCGTCACCAGATGTGGGTCCCCCCACCAAACCAAAATGCAATCATTTAGGGAACAGTTGGGTAGAAAGGAGCCCTTGAAGGAAAGGAAGGACAAGGGAACTGGGCTTCTTCAGGTGCTCGGGACGGGGCTGCCAGGACCCCTTTGCTCTTCTTACTAGTCTTCCTGTCCCCGTCCACCAGATGGGGCTGTTCATCAGCTATGACAATGCCACCAAGCAGTTGGACACGGTCTATGACATCACCCCAGCCCTGGCCCGGGCGTTTCTGGAGAGGATCGACTCCTCCAGCTTTGACATGAGGAACACCTCCACCGTCCACCGGTAGGTGTGGGGGCTCTGGGCGCCCAGCTCTTCCCACGTGTCGGCTTCGCGCTAGCCCCTGCACTGCCTGACGCCTGGGTGGGAGTCCCCCATGCCTGGCCTTGAAGAACCCTAAGTCTCTGCATGCCATCGGAACTGTTCCCTAAAAACTCCATTTGGGGACTTCTGGTTGGGTAGGAGCCCACGACTACTTTTTATTTTTGGTTTCTGGTCTCACCCAGTGATGCTCAGGGGTTACTTCTGGCGATGCACTCAGGAATTACTCCTGGTGGTGCTTGGGGGACCACATGGGATGCTGGGGATCGAACCCTGGTTGGCTGCCAGCAAGGCAAATGCCCTACCTGCTTGCTATCACTCCAGCTCCAGAAACCCACAATTTCTGATCCCCGTGGGTCAGGCTTCATGGTCCCTTTACCTGGTCTAGAATAACTGCTCTGAGCCCAGAAACAGGATGTTCTTGACCCTCCTAGCTCTCTGCATCCCCAGCCAAATGCACAGATCCCAGGCTGCAAGCCCAGAGTTCAAACTAGCTGGTGAGGGGCCGGAGAGATAGCACAGTGGGTAGGGCACTTGCCTTGCATGCGGCTGACCCAGGTTCGATCCCTGGCACCTTGTATAGTTCCCCAAGCCAACCAGGAGTGATCCCTGAGCACAGAGCCAAGAGTCAGCTCTGAACACCGTTAGGTGTGGCCCCCAAACAAAACAACAACACAAAGAAAACCAGCTGGCGGTCCCTCATCTCTGTGAGCCCCTTGTGGGGACCCTGGGGAGAGAGCAGCTGTAGACTTTAGTATTTGTGACCCCCTCTCCCCAGAAGGCATTGCCTGCAGAGCAGGGCCAGGAGCTGTGTACCTGGTGACCCCCAGTAAGGGTTAGGAGGTCAGGGGCAGTGAGGGGCGAGTGGGGAGCACTCCCCCCATGTCTCAGGCCGGTCACATGACTTCATCCAATCTCATTGCCCAGTCATTGTTTTCGACTGAGTCCCTGATAACGGTTTCTGAAAGAACAATAGGGCGCTCCTTCCCCCCACCCATGGCCATGGCCCCCATTTTCCTGCACAGGGGAGGGGCCCAAGGACACAGAGCCTGGAGCCAGACTTCCAGGTTCCCTCGTGGCTCTACCCCATGCAGTAGGTTGCATGACCTTGGCAGTGGCCCTAGATCTCCGGCCTCTATGTCCCCATCTGTAAGATAACCGACTCAACTCACCCTGGTGTCGGGCTCCATCCAGCCCAGCACACATAGGGAGCACTGGTGATTTCGCAGGGACCTGGGGTCTCCTGAGCACCATGCAGGAGTACCCCCCCACACACACACCAGAAGATCTTAGTGATCACGTGATTATTAATCCGCAGCCTTCACTTTCGCTCCAACCTTTCTCATCAGACAGACGGACAGACAGACAGAGCCTTCCCCAGCTTCTCCACTTCCTCTCCTGTGGGTGGGAGGGTGTCAGTGTCGCTCTTAGTGGGTAGGACCAGGCCGTGCAGGGGTGGGGTACACGGGCACCCACAGAGCATCCATCAGGAGCCAGCCAGACGCCTGCCTCTCCGAGGTGCATCTCACCTTGCTCCTTGGCCCTCCACGTGTTCCTTCATTCATCACGTTTTGTTTTGTTTGGGGGCCACACCCAGTGACGCTCATGGCGTTCTCCTGGCTCTGCACTCAGAAATTACTCCTGGGGCTGCTTGGGGAACTATACAGGGTGCTGGGGATCGAACCCAGGTCAGCTGCGTGCAAGGCAAACGCCCTCCCCGCTGTCCTTCCCCCATTCAGCACATTTCTTGTGAGGCGTGAGGACGAGCAAAGCTAGCTGCCCCTCGAGCAGCAGGGACAGTAGTTCAGAGCGTGCACTGCACAAGCACAACCAAAACTGCGCAGAGAGCTCACTTTGTTGGCACGGGCTACAGCTCCAACTGGCTGCATCTGCATCTTCGCCCTGGGGGTAGCACTCCCCACCAAAGGAGGCGACAGGTCCCCTCCGGCCCCAGCTGACTGGCCAGCCTCTTGTCTTTGCTCCTAACCTTCCATGTGCTCCACATCAAGCCCATCAGCAGTGTGGACAGCCTGGTGGGGCCAGATCATGGCCTCGGGGAGCTAGTGTATAGAACCCTTATCTGACTCTGGGTAGAAAACAAGGGGCCTGGGGGGCTGGAGCAATAGCACACCGACCCGGGTTCAATGCCCAGCATCCCATATGGTCCCCTGAGCACCGCCAGGAGTAATTCCTGAGTGCAGAGGCAGGAGGAACCCCTGAGCTGTCACCCAAAAGGCAAAAAAAAAAAAGATAAAAAAGAAAAGGAGGGGCCTCTATTCCCTGCCCCCCCCCCTTTACTCAGGCACCATGGTTTACACAGTTGCTCAAGATGCCTTTGTTCCGGCATTCAATGCTCCAACCCCGCCCCCTCCACCCCCCTCCACTGTCCCCTCCCTCACACTGTCTCCGTTTCCCACACCAGCTCCCAAGCAGCCCCATGGCGGGTCCACAATCACTTGCGTTGCTTGTCACCATTAACTGGCTGAGGGAATGCTCAAAAATGAATCAGGAAGAGAAGGTTCCTGAGAGTGGTGTCTCACCATGGGGACAGGAAGTCCTTGTCTGGGCGTTTACTGAGCCCTGGCTGCACCCGAGCCTTCCGTGCTGCCGCCGAGATGGGTTGGCTTCTCCATCACATTCCCAGCCACTCTGGTCTGCCCCTACTGGAATGGCAGTCTTTTTTTTCCTTTTTTTTTCTTTTTGGGTCACACCCGGCAATGCTCAGGGGTTCCTCCTGGCTCATGCACTCAGGAATTGCTCCTGGTGGTGCTCGGGGGACCATATGGGATGCTGGGAATCGAACCTGAGTCGGCTGCATGCAAGGCAAATGCCCTCCCCGCTGTGCTATTGCTCCAGCCCGATGTCAGTCTTGTAGAATGGGGAGATATGCAGAGAGTTCAGAATATCTAACTGGGCAGTCCTGCCGGAAGCACGGCTGTGGCTGTTGGGGTTTTCGTAGGGTGGAAACTTGGCCCGCCCCATCATGGGGAAGGGGTATCTGTGTGGACTCAGCCCCCTTCTTGCCACCCAGCGGGACAGATGGCACCTTTACATGGATCCAAAGGCAGGTTCCAACTCCATCACCTCGAGCAGCTCACATGAGTGCTCTGAGCCTCAGTTGGCTCTTCCATGAAATGGGTCTGCGGCACCTCCCTATCTCATAGGCATAGTGTGGGTTCCTCGGGAGGGCTGTGACCATGAACCGCTTGACTGACGGGGTGTGGTGTGGGGCCCCCTGCCCACATCACTTCCCTGCTTCCGTCCCTGCAGGCTGGGGTTGCTTGTGTGTTTCTACGATGACCTGGAGCTGCTGGATGCTGCCGTGGCCCACGTCCTCCTTCACCAGATGATCAAGTGCAGCCGCCTGAGGGGCTTCCAGGCCAGCGTGCAGAAGGTGCAGGCGGGTGCTGGGGCCCAGACCCCCTCTGCGGGTTCACTAGCCAGAGGAAGGTGGAGAACAACCTAGCCTGGATTCTGAGGGGCGGGGGAAGTAACGGCATAGGCGGTGACCTAGGATCTGGGAGCCCTCTGACGAGAGTCTTAATGGGGAGGGAAGAGGCCCAGGGCACAGACCTCACAGCAGCGGCCCGGGAGCTGGTCACAGGAGCCAGGGCACAGCCAGAAAACACACAAGGGGACGGAAGGAATGGCAGGAGTCCCTGATTCCTGGCTTAACTTCTTTGGTTTTTGTTGGGGGCCACATCCTGCAGTGCTCAGGCTTACTCCTGGCTCTGTGCTCAGGGATGGCTCCTGGCTCTGTGCTCAGAGATTACTCCTGGCTCTGTGCTCAGGGATTACTCCTGGCTCTGTGCTCAGGGATCGCTCCTGGCGGGGCTCGGGGGACCATGTGGGGTGCTGGGGATTTGGCCGTGCAAGGAAAGCGCCCTCCCCAGTGCCCTAAACCATTGGTCGCGACTCAGCGGCATCACTAAAGCTGGAGGGTCTGAGCATGCCTCTGGACCAACAGAAAAAAAATTCAAGACCAACCGCGTGCTCCTGGCAGCCCTCCCTGGCCTGTGTCCCATTTCTTGGTCGAAAGGGGTGGCGAGCGGAAGAGGTTTAAGGAGCTCTGACCTCGAGGTCTCTCTGGGGGCTGCAGGGGAGAAGGGGGCGGTGCTGACTTTGGAGACGCCCGGATGCCTGGGCAAGTTGCTTCTTTTGCTTCCCTCTGCTGCCCTCCAGTGGCCATTTCAGTGATGCCTTGCGCTTCTGGAAGGGACACTGTGTTCAGGACCAGGTGCTGCACCTCTCCCAGTGCTGGTCTGGTTTTACAGAGGCGAGTGCAGCACCCCCTCTGCTGGAAGCAGCTGGGAAATGCATTGCCCAGTACTTGCCTACTATCCTTCTAGGGGAGGTGGCCACAGGCCACAGAAAGGCCGACACATTCCGGGATAACTGTTAGAAGTAAAACGCAGAGAACTGCACTCCGCTTACAGACAACCACACAGAAATGACACACAAAGTACCCGCTTAAAGAGGCAGAAGAAGTCTTAGCATTTGCATTAATCCCGTTTATTTTTATTTATTTATTTATTTTTTGCTTTTTGAGGTCACAGCTGGTGATGCTCAGGGGTTACTCTTGGCTCTGCATTCATGAATTACTCCTGATGTGCACGGAGGGACCATGTAGGATGCCGGGAATCGAACCCTTGCAAGGCCATGCAAGGCAAATGCCCTCCCTATTGTACTATCACTCCAGGCTCTCTGGTTGTTTTTAGGAGGGAAGGTTTTCTGGAGGCTTTCATAAACTTGCTGGTCACAGTTGAGCATTATTTTTTTTACAGACTATAATGGAGCTGCCCACAAGCCCTGCATAGTTCATGAGAGAAAAACAACTTTGGGGCCAGAGCGATAGGGCAGCGGGTAGGGTGTTTGCCTTGCATGCAGCCAAACAAGGTTCGATCCCCAACACCCCATCTGGTCCTCAAGCCTTGCCAGGAATGACCCCTGAGCCCAGAGCAAAGAGTAAGCCCTGAGCACCAGCAAGTGTGGGCCTAAAACAAACAACCCAACCCAAGGGGCTGGAGCAATAGTACAGTGGGTAGGGTGTTTGCCTTGCATGTGGCTGACCTGGGTTTGATTCCCAGCATTCCATATGATCCCCAGAGCACTGCAGGAGTAATTCCTGAGTGCAGAGCCAGGAGTAACTCCTGTGCATTGCTGTGTGTGACCCCCCCCCAAAAAAAAAACCAAACTCAACCCAAACAGAAATAGAGCTGCCTTTGTGGATCTGGGCTTCAAGGTCACTAAGCAAAGCAGGTGCTAAGAGACTGCAGTGGAATTAGAGGTAAAACAGACAGCTTTCCTCCTCACACCTCAGCTTGATTTCAGAGTGAGCTGATGTGTAGTCGAGGCACAAAGTGAATTTGCTCCATGTGGAGGCTCAGGCCGGAGAAGCCATGTTCTCAGCGGACCGATTCAGAGCCTGGGTTGGGCCAGGCTTCCTTATACCCTGGACGGAGAGGAGGCCACTCTCCTATGTGTCCACCGCCCTCACTCCAGCTTGCTCCCCCTCTAGCTCAAAGCTGACCTCCTGGACGTTGCCACGGAGAACCAGACCCTCAACGAGACGCTGGGCTCCCTGTCGGATGCCGTGGTGGGCCTGAGCCATGCTCAGCTGGAGTCACTGTCCCCGGAGGCCGTGCATGCCGCCATCCCTACCCTCAACCAGGTCAACGGCTGGGCCAGGGGTCAGGTCGTCATTTTGTCTGCCAAGTACTTGGCCTATGAGAAGGTCAGTGGGGGGGGAGGGGGAGCTGTTTTGAATGTCCCAAAGGCTCTGCTTTACACACACACACACACACACACACACACACACACAGAGTTCTGTCCGTCCTCATTCATTCATTCATCATCCTGTTATTCATCGATTGCCTCGAGCAGGCCCCAGTAACGTCTCTTTCATCCTAGCCCTGCGATTATATTCAAGGCTCTTTAGGAGAATGAGACCCATCATTGTTACTGGTATTTGGCATATTGGGTACGCCACGGGGAGTTTGCCAGACTCTGCCCTGTGGGCAGGCTACATTCGATAGCCTGCAAGTTTGTCCAAAGTAGGAATGAGATAATAAGATGTCATAAAAGATGTCCTGATAAGATGTGTGGCCGCGCGGTTCCGGGGGCTGGATTTTATAGTCTCTGAGTCTTGGCCATTGATGGGATTACACGGCGCCAGGGGGCCAGGTGGTGGGTGTGACCCCCGCCTACTGGAATTTGGAGGATCTGGGTGGAGGATGCTCGACTCCAATTCGAGTAGGCTTGGAGATCTCGGCCCCGGAACCCGCGTGGCTTTGTCCCTCTGCCAGTACCTTCATGTGTGCGGAGAGTGGTCTCAGCATGGAGGTGGCTGGTCCTGGAGGCCTTCGGCTGCCGAGCCCTGGTCGGGGCGGGGAGGAAAGCTCAACCCGCTCCCCTCCTTCGAGCATCCTGTCCGTCCTAGTCACAGACAAAATAATGTTACTTTCCTGGTACCCAGCTCCTCCATCTGAGACCTAGAAAGATTTTTACTAAGAAGTCAAGGTCTAGAAGGTCTTGTCTGCCTTGTGAGCACTGAGGCTCTCTGTCCTACAGATGGTGATACAAGGACAGCCCCAACTCTACTTTTGGGGTGCCTCTGTGATGGTGCTCAGGGGCTATTCCTGGCCCTGTGCTCAGGACTGACCCCTGGTGGTTGTCCGGGGAACACCTGTGGTGTGGGAGATTTGACCCTGAGCAAATGAACCCCCTGAACTGTCTCTCCGGCCCCCACTGTCTTTCCTGTAGAGCCAAGGAAAGACCCTGAGTAGAAGGAAAGTCCTCACCACCTATATGCCAGCAGGGGGAGGAAGTCAAGAGCGAATCAGCGAACAGCACCCACTGCCTCTGCCCTGACGTGTCAGATCCTATCCAGAGATACTTCCTTTAACTCTGAGTTTCCACTAGGGCTGCCAGGACTGTGTAGGCAGCCACAGAGCCATCCTAAAGGGCGCTGGGTCGGTCTCTTCCCGCTGGTTGGCAAAGACCCAGAAACAGTGGATGTTAAAAACAAAACAAAAAACCCAGAAACTCAACCCATATGCTGCAGGGCTCAGGGATCACCCCTGGCTCTGTGCTCAGGGCTCACTCCAGGCTCTGTGCTCAGGGATCACTCCTGGCTCTGTGCTCAGGGATCACTCCAGGCTCTGTGCTCAGGGGTCACGCCTAGTGAGCTCTGGGGACCACATGTGATTCAACTGGATAGAGTGCGTGAAGCCTTGAGCTCTGTACTATCTTTTCAACCCCTGAACCCGGATTTTTTTTTTGGTGCTCAGGAATTACTCCTGGCTCTGTGCTCAGGAATTACTCCTGATGGTGCTCTGGGGGACCAAATAGGATGCTGACTATTGAATCTGGGTCGGCCTTGTGCAAGGCAAAAGCTTGCTGCCTGCAGTGCAATTGCTCCAGCTCTGAACCTGAATTTTAAAAGTTCCTCCCACTTAAAAATGTTGGGTTCAAAACGAACACCAGAACATAACCCCCCTCCACCCGCAACCCCATCCCCCAGTGGTTGTGTGTGACTGAGGATCTTGCTGTCTGTGCCAGGATAGCCTCGCCAAGTGGCCTCACAGTTTGTCTTTTCTGCCTGCTCTTTCCTGAGGGTAGGGGACAGCGAGGAAGGCTGGGGGTGGGGGGGGTGGGGGGGGGCTGGCTCCCTCACTGCTCAGTCTCCCCCTGCTGGAAGTGGGAGGCAGTGCAAGGGCACTGGCACCCTCTGCTGGGAGCCTGAGGGAGTGTTGGAGAGCACTGGCGCCCTCTGCTGGGAGCAGGAGGGAGTGTTGGAGAGTGTTGAGCAGAGCCTCAGCCAGCTGGACCTCCCCAGGTGCTGTCCTTCCACAACGTGAGTCAGCTGGGCATGCTGCTGCCCGGGGTGGGCACCCAGGCCCTCCACGCCATGGAGCACAGGGACCTCATGCAGCTGCTCTGGAGCACCAGCTCCCTGCACCTGTCTGCACTGTCCATGGTCCAGCAGCAGGGTGTCCTCAGCAAGGTGAGAGACAGTCCCTGAGTCTTGGCTCTGGGACTCAGGGAGGTGACCGATGAACCTGAGCTCCTGGGCCCACGTCACAGTTCCTCTAAGTGTCACATTGGAAGGCTTTCCTTAAAGGATTTATTTTTGTCTTTTTGGGTGTGTGTGTGGGGGGTCACACCTGATGATGCTCAGAGGTTACTCCTGGCTCTGCATTGAGGAATTTCTCCTGGCTGTCCTCAGGAGACCATATGGGAAGCCAGGGATTGAGTCTGGGTTGGTCACATGCAAGGAAATCACCCTACCTGCTATACTATCAACCCAGCCCCAAGGATCATTTTTGTTTTTTTGCTTTTTGGGTCACACCCGGCGATGTACAGGGGTTACCTCTTCCTGGCTCATGCACTCAGGAGTTACTCCTGGTGGTGCTTGGGGACCATATGGGATGGTGGGAATTGAACCCAGGTCGGCTGCATGCAAGGCAAATGCCCTACCCGCTGTGCTATTGCTCGAGTCTGTTTGTTTGATTTTGGCTTGGGGGCCATACCTGGTGATGCTCAGGGGTTCATCCTGGCTCTGCACACAGGAAGCATTCCTGCGGTGCTCGGGGGACCATATGGGATGCCAAGGATTGAACCCGGGTCGGCTACATGCAATACAAATGCCCTACTTGCTGTACTGTCACTCCAGGCTGGATCATGTTTTTTAACACTTGAGCTAGGGGCCATTCTCTGTGGTATTTGGCTCAGTGGTGTGACCCGGTGTCTTGATGCTTGGTCCGTGGTGCTCTGAGGCTGCCAGGGCTGCTCCTGGGGGAGCCTGAGGACCACATGGTGCTGGCAGGAGAACTCAGAGGCTTGCCCCTGATGGACATGTACCTCTGGAGCTGTCTCCCCTGGCCACCAAACATTTGGTTTTTTAGATCTAAAGATGGATTTAAAACCATGGAGCCTGGAGCTAGGGCAGCAGTTCCCTTCATGGCCCACGAGGTCCCCCAGCATGGCCAGTGCTGCATGGGAGGCCCCCAGAAGTCCCGGGGTGCCTAGGCATTCCTTGCACCCCAGGATCCTTGAAAACAGCACCACTTCCCCAGGCCTCCACATCGAACTGATGGTCTGGTTGGCTGAGCCTCCAGTGGGCACCTGGGCCTCTGGAGCATTGCTTGGAAGCTGTACCCCCCCCCACATCAAATCAAATAAAACCAGCCTCTCACTCAGCTGGGAGTCACTGTCACCCCCACTGTCTTTTTTGTCACCTCCACTGTGTGGTGGTTGGAGTCACACCCTGAGATGCTCAGGGGTTCCTCCTGGCTCTGCACTCAGGAATTACTCCTGAAAGTGCTCAGCAGAACCTATGGGATGCTGGGAATCGAACTCAGGTCTGCCACATGCAAGACAAGTGCCCACTGTTTTATGTTCTCATCTGAACCACTGGGCCTCCTGGTCAACCAGGCTTGCAGTGTCCAGTGAAAGAATGTATTACAAATCTCCACACAAAGGACCCGCCCTGAAAGGCCAATACAATGCAGAGGACAGGGCTGGGTGATTGGGGGGGGGGGGAGCTAACCTGAGGAGCATGGAGGACTGAGACTCTCCTCCTTGATGTGGAGCAATTGAATTGCTGAGCCTCAGTTTCCTTGCCTGTAAGATGGGCTTGAGGAACATCCCTGCCTCTGAAGGCTGCTTCACAGACCTGGTGTGCTTCCTGGTGGGGGCCAGGACTGGGCCTTTGCCCTCAGCGGCAGGGGACATCCCCTACCCGCTGCTCATTCGGTCTCTTCTCACTTCCGACAGGTGCTGGAGGCAGGAGACAGGCCTCCGGGCATCGTGGAGATCCCAGGGGCTCTCTTTAAGCAAGTGTCTCTCTTCGACGTGTGGAGGGAACCTGGACTCAACGCCACAGTCCTGAAGGAAAAGGAGCTTCGGAGGAGTCAGGTGTGTGTGTGTGGTGTGTGTGTGTGCATGCCTGTGTGTGTATGTATATGTGTGTGCATTGTGTGTGTGTGTGTGTGACCGGCACCAGGATCCCCAGTGTTCGATTTCCAACTCCCAGGAAAGTTCTGTTTGAAGGTCAAACTGCTGAGAGAAATGGATGCTGGCGTGAGGAAACTCAGGAAGTGGAATGGCGTGGCTGGAAGAAGCCAGACGGATCCAAGCATGAATTGGGGCATCTCTACTGTTCATTATTATTTTGGGGGGAAGATTACATCCCCTTGGTCTCAGTATTGCCATGTGCAAAGTAGGGGTCATTTCTCAGAGGGTCAGTGAGGGAAGACGCCCGGGTGTGGGCAGGTGTGCCCGTGTCCGATCTTAGCCCCCAATGGGGGCGGCTGATGGAAGCACCTCCTGGGAACAGGCCCGGGGCATCTTGCGGGGACCCCTGATTCTTGCCCCGAGGCATGCTGGGACAGGCACACGTTCCCTCTCGGCTGGCCCTGGCCTGTCTCCCAGGTAGCAAATGATGAGCTGAATACACAAATGGCCCTGGACAGATAAAGGACTCCCACCCTGCCTGCCCACAGCCCTGGTAGGAAAGTGACCTTATTGGGAATAAAGGAGGCCTTTGCAGCTCACATTCGGAGAAGGCCCTGAAGACCAGATATTGATTATCTGCTCCCTCCCGTTATCCAATGCCACGTGGCTCTCTGAGTGCCCACGCAGACAGCAGGGAGGCACGTGGGTGAGAGAGATCAGAACCGCCCAGAATCGGCGCTGGGGGCCAGAGAGGCTGTGCACGGAACGGAGAGGGGAGATATTTCTTTGGCTTTTTTGATTTTGGGTTTTTTTTTGGGAGGGGGGGTGGAAGGGCTGCTGGGGGCTGCCCCTGCTCGGGGAGCACCTTTCCGCATGCAGAACTTGCGTTCGAGCCCCCTGAACCCTCCCCTGGGCCCCCCTTTCTGCTGTTTTAAGCCCCAGCTCTCCCTGTCAGGAGGCCGCCCCTCAGGTCACGGAGAACCCAGATGGCCTCTGCTCCTTGAGGCTCCCTCCTCCACTGTCCGGCTGTCACGTGCATCTGTTATGTGCGTCTGTCATGCACGGCACGTGGGCCTATCACTTGCATCTGCCACGTGGGCTGCACGTGCGTTTGTCACGTGCGGCAGCCACCGTGCGGCTGCCTTGTGCTTCTGTCGTGGGCTTCTGTCAGGTGTGTCTGTCTGCGCCTGCGGTCAGCAGGGTCACTTCGGCTGCCCGGTCAAGACAGACTCTTTTAGGTTGCACCGGGTGGTCGGTGCTTGTCTTTGCTTCCCCTTTGCTGTGAAATGGAGCCCTGCTCCTGCAGGGACACCCCAGCCTCCGTCTTCCCATCTGTCAAATGGGATCACAGCCTGTTCCCGCAGGGCTCCATGCCGACTGTTCTGTCCCCCCAGGCTTTGTTCCTGTACGAGCACCTGTCCCGGGCCCCGGCCGAGGAGCTCCTCAGGTAGGGGGGCCTCGTTCCTGGGGGCTGTGAGTGCGTTGGTGTCCCAGTCGCCCGGTTTCAGAGGCGTGAGGGTTGGTGGGACCCGTGTGTAGCCTGTGCCAGAGCGGACCTCCCTCCGGCCGCCCCGTCTCCCGGCTCTCCCCTGTCCGTCCGTCTGTCCATCTCCTCCCGGCCCCCCATTCTGTCTCCAGCACAGGGCAGCTGCTCAAAGGCGTGACGTGCCCCCAGCTGGGGGCCATGAGCAAGGACACCTTCCTGGCCCTTTCCGTGTATTTCGAGGACAATCTTTCCCTGCTGTCACCGTATCAGGTACCCTCAGCACATTCTTCACTCCTCCTCTCTCTCTAACCTCTGCCGCCAGCTCCGGGGGCCTCTGGCATCTGGAGATACTTTTACCAGGTGATTTGATGCAGATAATGGTGTGTCTTCAAGACCCAGGGGACCCAGGGGACTACCCCTGGCTCTGTGCTCAGGAGTGACTCCTTAGAGGGTGCTCGGGGGATCATATGAGGTGCTGGGGATTGATCTAAGGGCAGTCGTGTGCAGGACAAGTGCCCTACCCACTGTACTATCTTTCTGGCCCCCAGAGATAGTGTCTTCACTATCTTTAGTGAAGACACTAAATAGTCAGGTCTCTACAGATTCCCAAATTTTCAGGCTTGAACTTGAAAATATAACCATGAGGTAGCGAGGTCCTCCTGTGCGCTCGTAAGGGGGCGGAGGGGCGTCTTCCAGCTTCTGCTCCCTTCCGGGCTTCCTGGAGTGGGATCAGGGCTCTCGAGAATGGTTTTATTCTTCACTTCGCCTGCTGTGCTACCTCTCCAGCCCTGAATTTTTAAAGCTGGTTTGAGCAAAAATCAATTGCATTAATGGCACCAGAGTAGAAGTGACAAGGAGCAGTAACAAAAAAAAAGTATAAAAGGGAGAAAAGGAATTGTTCTTTTTTGAGGCCGGAGGAATAGTACAGTGGGTAGAGCACTTGCCTGGCATGTGGCTGCTTTGGGTTCAATCCCTGGCATCCTATATGGTCCCCCGAGCACTGTTAGGATCCTGAGCACTGTGCCAGGAGTAACCTTGAGAATCACTAGGGGTGGCCCTCAAACAAACCAACCCAAAGAAAAGAAACTTTCTTTTTAACTTTCTTTTTTCTTTTTAACTTTTTAAATAGGGGGCCACCCTAGTGATCTTACAAGCAAAACACTGTCCTCCCGTTGTTCATCGATTTGCTCGAGGAGGCCCAGTAACGCCTCCATTTTGAGACTTCTTGTTACTGTGTTTGGCATATTGAATACGTCACAGGTAGCTTGCCAGGCTTTGCCGTGCGGGCGAGATATTCTTGGTAGCTTGCCGGGCTCTCCGAGAGGGGCGGAGGAATCGAACTCGGCTCGGCGGGCTGGCTGCACACAAGGCAAATGCCCTACCGCTGTGCTATGACTCCAGGATGTGATCTTAGAACGACTTATATTCAGGGGATGTTAGAGTCAAAACTATCAGTGTTGGGGGCAGGACTGTGCCCGGACGAACCTTGGAATGCTCTGTCATTCAGGGCATCTCCCAGCCCAAGGGAAGTTACTCAGGATAGAATTTCAGGCATAGAGTGTCCCAGCATTGATTCCACCATTAGTGTCACCTTACCCCCACCTGTGTCCCTAGGGTCCCTCCTACCCCGCCACCCTTAGCAGGCACCTCGTCAGTTGTAGTTTGGGCTTCCTGCTTCCCGTGGATGGTTCTGTGGGTCAGAGCTACACAGACGCCACGATGCCCGACATCCCTCCCCTCTGCCTGGCTCCTCCTGCCCCCCCCTTTTCCACCTCGATCACTTTCCTTCCCAGTCTGTCAGCTTCCTGTACCTCAGGGCCCAGAGGAAAGCCCTGGATAGCTTGCACTTTCTCGTCTTGTCCTAAACAGCACAGCTAAGTGAGACCATCCATATAGAGAATAAAGGGTTTTGTTGCCCCCGGCTGAAAGCCCAGTCAGCTGTTTGTGACTGTTGGAAGCATTTCTCAGCTGACGAAGGGCCCCTGACATTCACGCCAGCTCAGTCTCATGCATGGGTTGTGCAGTGAATGAACACATCTCACTACGTGAATTCCCTCGATGTGGGTATAAACAAAACTGGAGAGGACTGGCTTACACGCACTACACACGTGCTTTACATAGTCATACAGATAGACATGACATATTAATATGTATACATTACATTAGGGCTGGAGCCATAGCCAAGTGGGTAGGGCGTTTGCTTTGTACGAGGCCAGCCCGGGTTCGATTCCTCCACCCCTCTTGGAGAGCCCGGCAAGCTACCGAGAGTATCTTGCCCACACGGCAAAGCCTGGCAAGCTACCTGTGCAGTATTTGATATGCCAAACTCAGTAACCAGTGTCACAGTGGAGATGTTACTGGGCCCACTTGATCAAATCGATGAACAATGGGAGGATAATGCTACAGTGCTACATTACATTGCATGTAATGTTACATATCACATACATGATATGTTTGTGTGTATATATGTGTGTGGCAGATCTATCCGTCTGTCTGTCTGTCTATCTATCTATCTATCTATCTATCTATCTATCTATCTATCTAATCTATCTATAAGCCATGCATGGCAGTGCTGAGGGATTGCTCCTGGCTCTGTGCTCAGGGATCATTCCTAGAAATGCTCTGGGACCACAGGCAGTGCTGGGGATCAAACTGAAGCTGGCCACCTGCAATGTGGTCTTAGCCTCTTGACTATTCTTTTTTTTTCTTTTTTTGGTCACACCCGGCGATGCTCAGGGGTTACTTCTGGCTCTGCACTCAGGAGTTACTCCTGGCGGTGCTCAGGGGACCATATGGGATGCTGGGAATCGAATCTGGGTCGGCCGCGTGCAAGGCAAATGCCCTCCCCGCTGTGCTCTCGCTCCAGCCCCCTTGACTATTCTTACCCCTGCACTGTCTATCCAGCTCTGACTTCGATGATATATTTCTATCATCATCTTTTTTTCTTTTTTTGTTTTATTTTTATAAACTTGTTTACAATAGTTCATTACAGATGATATTCGAACACCCATCCCACCACCGTGTACCTTCCCACCACCATAAGAGGAAAGTGCGTGAAGGTAGTTGTATTTCTTCCTGGAGCCATTTAAGTTCTATCATTGTCTTATCATCACCTTATGACTGCCTCCGTTTCTTCGCCCATGAGCTGAGCACAGGACGCACCTCTTGTGTTTGCGTTTCTCTGGCTAGGACTAAATGCCAATATGTCTGAATTTTTCAGGTTAATTGCTTGGCCTGGAAGTACTGGGACACCGCCAGGTCCTCGATGCCACCGTTCCTCGTGGCTGCACTTCCGTGAGTGAATGTGGGACCAATGGTCAGAGTGTGTGTGTGTGGGGTGGGGGGGCGGGGAGGAGTTCCCAGAGCTCAAGCGATGTCTTCTCCCTGGGTTTTGCTGAGCAGCAGGCAGCAGTATGGAGAGTGCAAAGCCTTTGAGAGCCGTTCCTGTCCCCAGAGTATTGGCCATGTAGATTCTGAGCCCCACATAGACATGTCGATATTCCAAAACTCAAATGGAAGAAACCCATGTGTGAGTGAAGCACTTCCTGTCTGACCTGACCTCACAGCTGTACCTAGGCTGCAGGGCAGTTGAGGCTGATATAAGGCAAGAGGATTTCTCCTGGAAGCATCAGGGGTTGGGGGGAGGGCACCCAGCTTTTCTAACGTGACCCCAACACTTTCTCTCCTGCCTTTCTCCATTTCCCTCTCTTATCTCGTGATGTGATTATCTTCATTTAAAACTCACTAGCTGAGTATACCATGTACTGTTGACAGAGATAAGTCAGCGACCCCCTTATGTGCCACCCCAATCTCCTGGAAAGGGGGTGGTGGTGGGGAAACAGAGAGGTGTGAAACCAACATTTGGCTGAAAGCAATAGACCTTAGACTGGCTGAAAATGAAATTTGGGTGTAGTTGACCTGAAAGCTCAGGGATGGACTTCAGGCATGGCTGGGTCCAGGGGGCACAAATGACATTATCTGTTTGTCTTTTGACCCCATGTTCTTCTGTAGCTTCTCTCGCAGGCATGTTTTTATTCTGGGGTAGCCCCTGGCAGCTAGGTCACATCTTCTAGTTCCATATACAGGACAAACGAGACTGTCTTTTCCTTCTTAATGGAAATCGTGGGGCTGGCTCTCTCTGGCTCAGCTCAGGTGAGTTTGCTGGAACCAACTAGTGAGGTGGGAGGGATGGACCACGTTGACTGGCTTAGGCCTGTATTGCACACCTGGGGTTAGGTGTGAAGTGGGTTCCACAGCATACCAGGGTAGAGTAATTCTTGGGTGATACTCCCAAGAAATCCAGGCGCTGTCTGCATGATATGGGTAGTGAGCATGGGAAGGGAGATGATCACCTTCAGGAGGGGGGTCTGAGGAGACTGAATTGGAATGAAGGAGTTGGGGTGAGCCTTCAAGGTGGCCCCTCCTTGACTGGGCTGTGGTGAAGTGGTAGAAGGGGAGCTCCCCTGGTGTTGGCAGAGCAGAGGGGGAGAGAAGGCTGCACAGGGAAGGCTCAGTCCCTCCGGGAGACTCTTGTAAGACCCTGGGGTAGCCCATGCTCTGGACTCGACTCTTGGGTTGTTTCTTGGGAGCCTCATCACCACAGACCACAGAGAGAGAGGGAGAAGGGAGATGGGGTGTGTGTGTGTGTGGGGGGCTAGCTCTGGCCTGGCCCAGCTCTCGGCCTGCTTCCACTCATGTACGGGTCAGCTCAAATAGCACCACCTTCTGTCCCCACCACCGTTATTCTCCCCCCTAACTTCTATTTTTTTTTTTTTTTTGCTTTTTTGGGTCACACCCAGCGATACACAGGAGTTACTCCTGGTTCATGCACTCAGGAATCACTCCTGGCGGTGCTTGGGGCACCATATGGGATGCTGGGAATCGAACCTGGGTTGGCCACGTGCAAGGCAAACACCCTACCCACTGTGCTATTGCTCCAGCCCCCCTAACTTCTATTCTCTAGCTAAAATGACCCCTTTCATTCACTGGTGTGTGTGCATGTATGTAGTATGTGTATGTGTGTGTGTGTGTGTGTGTGTGTGTGTGTGTGTGTGTTTCCTGCCTGATGCAGGAACCCAGCCCTCCTGCTTTCTTTACAGAGGCAGCTTCTGCCCAGGCAGCCAGATATTTGCAGAATGAATAAAGAAATGAACAAGTGGTTTCAGGATTGGAGGAGCAGGAACAGAGTTTCAGCAATAGGGAAAGAGCACTGGCGGCTAGCAGCGGAGCAGTCACAGTGACTTTAGGAAACTCACAGAGAGGAGCACAGTGGGGGGCATGTTGACTGGGTCTGGGGTCCCTAGGGGAGGCACAGTCCAGTGTGCACCTTGTCAATCCAGGCTTGCTCTTTCTCTCCCCAGGAGGAAAAGTGTAATTTCTCCCTAAGGAGAGTGATCGCAAGGAGGAAGATTTTGCTGAATAGGGTTGAACTTCAGTGGGTCATAAATCATCATAATAATTTAAGTATTTCTGCTCTCTCCCTCCTCTTTGCCAATCTGGCTTCCTCATCTTAGGGGTGATATTGCTCCTAATGAGAACATAAGGTCAAAAATCTTAGGTTCTGGACTCAACACGGAACTGGAAGTCATTTTATTACTTTTCTCTTTTCACCTTTTTTTATATTTGATTCTCTCTTCTATTTGTCTCTTTTGTTTCTTTTTCTTTCTCCTCTCTGCCTTCACCAATCATCAGACAAATGCTTTATGAGACCCCATTCTCTGGGTCAGTTTTCCTGGGGAACAGGAGGTTTTATTTTCCCAGACCAAGAGTAGAATAGCACGATGGGAAATTTCCTCCCGTCCTAACTCTAGAGGACCATGATGGAAAGTCTCTCACCCATAGAAGAAAAGTATGATGGGAAGTTTGTTTCTCATCCAAGAAAGACGAGCATGATGGGAATTTTGTCTCCCCCCCCGAAGAAGAGCATGATGGGAAATTTCCCATCCAAGAAAGAGGAGCATGATGGGAATTTTGTCTCCTCATTCCCAACCATAGAAGAGAAGCTTGATGGAGAGTTTATTTCCCAACTCCTAGAAGAGCAAGAGGAATCCCAAGGTTCACCACTTGCTCAAAGGAACCTCAGACTAACTGGAGAGAACAAACCTCTGAGACCCGTGCCTGTCCCCAGACTCTTGGCCATGTAGAGCCTGATTTCAGGGGTGAATACAGAGCGGTCCCCGATTTCTTCCTTTTGTTCCACCTGTCTCTAGAGCTCGCTACTTGGCTTCCATCCCTGCGTCCCAGTGTGCACCCTTGCTGACCAGCTTGGGCAAGAGGCATCTGGACTCCTTGGTCTTAGATCCCCATAAGAAGAGTTTGGTCCTCCGGAAAGTGCAGCAGTGCCTGGTAAGGAAATGTGGCCACCAGGGTGACACTTCTACATGCCCCGTGTCCTCCCACTCCCGGGGTCTGTTGACCCTTCTGCACAGCCCTCAGGAGATTCTGAAACCTTGAGCCTGTTGCAATGCCCGGAAGTTTGACTTCAAAGCTGGTTCTGTGGCCACTGGGTGGGGCACAGCACTGGCTATGAAGATGGCCAGCCCAGGGCACAGATGGAAGGAGTGACGGTGGGGTCTGGGCCTGTCACTTGCCCTCCTGAGACTCAGTCTCCTCATCTGAATAATGGCTCTGATGGCATTTCTGGTAGAGAATGATCCAGGCCACACAGATGGTGAGATCAGGCTGAGCCCGCGGAGTCTCTGGGCAGGAGTGTCAGCTCTGCCAGCAGCTGGCGGTGCCTCTGTGGAAAGTGAATGATGCTAAGACTGACGTTTCTATTCACTGGAGAGGGCACAATTAAGACTCATAAGCACTGAGATCGGAGCCCAGCATGCAGTGAGCACCCACAAAAGAGTAGCTCTTTTTCTTGGTTTATTTCTCTCATTTTGTAAAAGAACTTTCAAGCCTTTTTGAGGTCAGACAGAGGCTCCCATGGGGTTCTTATTTACTTGTTTTGTGCTGACTCTAATGACTGTTGAACTCTGGGGTTGCCTCTTCCCAACAACAGTGATCAGGATGACCACCTCCCTTTGCTGTGTGTGCCCTGTCCACACCCCTGGAGCACCCCAAGTTCTGACGCTGGATCCCTTGGGGTGGAATCAGGGTGGAACCTTGGTGGGGTTTGAGGTTGGGGAGCCTTGTTAGGGTGCCTTGGCCTTGAGCTGGTTGTGTCTTCCCATCTGTGCCCTTGTGGTTTCAGAATTACTCCGTTGTTGACGAGTACGATGTGGACATCATGGGCAGCCTACTCTGTCACCTGCCGGCCACTGTCATCTACCATGGGGTGTCCCCCAGGGCCTGGCCCATGGTCCTGTACGGCCTCAGACACTGCGCAGACCTGGGCCCTGAGCAGAAGGTGGTGCTGAGGGTCAAGCTTCTGGAACAGTTTGGGTGAGAAGGGGCTGGGCTGGGCACTGGGCCGAGGGATGCTGGCTCTCCTGCTGAGACCCTCAAAGCACAGGGGCTCGGGGCCAGAGAGATAGTATAGCAGGTGGGGTGCTTGCCTTGCATGTGGATGACCTGGGTTCAATTTCCAGCATCCCATATGGTTCCCTGAGCACCACCAATTCCTGAGTACAGAGTCGGGAGTAACCTCTGGACATCGCAGGGTGTGCCCCCCAAATCAAACCAAATACAACTAACAAACATAGTCTCAATTTCTGACGAGGCCAGACACTCGCATCTATCCTAAAAGGGACCCTTTCTACCTTTCTACTTCTGGGTCAGCTACCCTGGGGTAAGAGAGCCGTGACTGTGTTCTATGGACCCCAGAACATGGAGGTGTCTGGAAAGGGAGTGAGGTTTGAAAAGATGGCGCTTACCTTGGCATAGGTATTTTATTTTATTTCTGACCATAAAACCATGACAACAGTATAAATAACAGAGCTCCTGTTGGCTCTGGGTGAGAGTGAACTTCTGCAGGGGGAACAGAGCAGTTCTCCCTCTGGAGAGTTTTCAGAAGTCGGGTCAGATCCTAGGGGAGGTCCCATCCACCCGCAGTGGTTAGACAACAACTCTTTGGAGTGAGCACTGCGTCTGGGCACTGCCTTCTCACTTAGAATTTAAGAGTGTGGTCTTGGGAGCTAGACCTGTTCAAGTTCTGTTTGTCCTGTCTGCTGACTGGGAAGCTGCTTGACCCTCCAGTGCTTTGATTTTTGCTTCTATCTCATGGAGAGAGTAAGAGTCCCAGAGTGGCCTCGTGGTGGTTGTTTTGCCTTTTTGGGCCACACCTAACAGTGCTCAGGGCTTGCTCCTGACTCTACACTCAGGACTCACTCCTGGCGGACTCGGGGGACCATGTGGGGTGCCAGGGATTGAACACTGACTGGTTGTGTGCAAATGTCTTATCCACAGCTCCAGCCCAGGTCTTATGATGACTGAATTAGCAGAGGAAAGCAAAGACTTTGCCCTAGAACATGGCCTATAGAACTGAGCTTGAGGTCAAATGCTTTCTCACAAGGATTGAAGAGCTGTCGACTACCTGTATAGTGGTCTATACAGAGTTTAACCTCCTGCCCCATGGAACTCTGATTCTAGTGAGATAGTAGTTGAAATCAGAGCTAAGGGGTATGCTTTTGGCAGACCTCCCTTAGAAATGTCATCAAATAGAGCAGCAGCCCCTTGGTTGTTGGCATTGGTGGTCACTCTAAGAAAAAAAGTGGCTTCAGACTCAGTGCTAGTATTTCTGCCAAGTTCAAGTGGAAATGTCATCATTCTGTAAGGGAAGACATTGGGGGCTGGAACAATAGTATAGTGGGAAGGGCACTTGCCTTGCATGTGGCTGATCCAGGTTTGATCTCAAGTATCTCATCTGATTCTCTGAATCCTCCAGGAGTGATCCCTGAGCTCAGAGCCAGGAGTCAGCCCTGAGCACCACTGGGTGTGGCCTCCAAAAAACCAAGGAAAAAAAGAAAAAACTATGTGGTGACTTGTGTGTGTGTGTGTGTGTGTGTGTGCGTGTGTGTATTTTGCTGCTCTGTTGAAGAAGGGAAGGAAGGAAATCCTGTGATGTAAAATTCACTGATTTACAGAAATTCAGTGGTTCAATTCAAGCTAGAATAAGCACTCATTGCATTCAGAAACAGAATTCAATAGCAAATGTCAGGGGGTGGATGTCAGGTATGGCTAGATCCAGAGGCTCAGGTGATGTTGCCTGGCACATGTCATCCTCATCCCTGGTGGAGTCCCTATTTTTCCTACCTGGTGAGAGGCCTCCAACACAATCTTTCCTGATGATACCGGGAGAAAGCAAGCTTCTCCAGTGGTTCCATCCACATTCCCAGGGATAATTCTGCTTGGTCAGCCTGCATCACGTGCCCATTTTCTTGGTCAGGGACCAGGTGACTGACAACCCCTCTGGGCATGGAGAGAGTGTGTTCCAGAAAGGAAAGGGTGCCGGGTGTGGGGGCAGGGCAGGGGTGCAACATATGGCTTATTCTCTCTCCTTAGATTCCCCGAGAACTGGACCGCTGAGACTACCAAGGACCTGGCCCCCTTCCTAGTGCTTTTCTCAGGAGCTGAATTAAGCCCTGTTGCTGCCAAGGTAACCTCTGGGTTCTCGCTTTCATGATCACGATCACAACCATCCTGTTATTCGTCGATTGCCTCGAGCAGGCCCCAGTAACATCTCCTTCGTCCTAGCCCTGAGATTTTTTAAAAAGTGCCATATTCAGGGCTCTTTCAGAGTTAGGAGAATGAGACCCATCATTGTTACTGGTATTTGGCATATTGGGTATGCCACGGGGAGTTTGCCAGACTCTGCCGTGTGGGTAGGTTAAATTTGGTAGTCTGCCAGTTTGTCCAAAGTAGGAATGAGATATTAAGAGCCCCAACCAGGGCTCCAGCAGCCAAAGACCTCCAGAACCAGCCACCGCCATGCTGAGACCACTCTCCGCACACATGAAGGTACCAGCAGAGGAACAAAGGCAAGCGGGTCCCTGGGCTGAGATCTCCAAGCCTATTCGGATCGGGGCTGAGCATCCTCCACCCAGATCCTCCAAATTCCAGGAGGTGGGGGGTCACACCCACCAACTGGCCCCCCGGCGCCGTGTAATCCCATCAATGGCCAAGACTCAGAGACTATAAAACCCAGCTCCTGGAAGAGAACAGCGCAGAGCCTTCTGCCCCCACGCCTGGCTGTCCTCGCCGGGGCCCCGACCAGGGCCCCGGTTCTCGCTTTATTTTTTTTAAATTTATGTATTTATTTTTTGCTTTTTTTGGGTCACACCTGGCAATGTACAGGGGTTACTCCTGGCTCATGCACTCAGGAATTACTCCTGGTGGTGCTCGGGGGAACCATATGAGATGCTGGGAATCGAACCTAGGTCGACTGCGTGCAAGTCAAATGCCCTACCTGCTGTGCTATTGCTCCAGCCCCAGGGTTCTCTCTTTAGAGGCTGAAGGAATTTGAAAAAAGGCAAAGGTGCGGTTGATCATACTCCATTGGCTCTGCTGCTAGTTTGTTTTTTCTGGAACGTTCCTTTTTTGTCCCTGAGGGCTCAGATGTGTCAACATGTGCTGGCTGATGCCCAAGGTTCAGGAGGAGAGAGTGGGGCAGCAGCATGAGGGACCCTGGGCTGTCCTCAGGCAGATGTGCACAGCCTAGAAGCCACCAGCTGAGTTCCTCCTTTGCTGTCTCTGTGCTTTTCATGGGGGCCCATTTGAGGCCTCACCCCCCCCCCCCCCCACCAGACACACATGCACATGCGAGTGCTCATGTGTGCCTCTTTGACCTAGAGACCAGACTAGTTGTGCTGGGAATAAAAAAAATTGGTGATGGCAGTGGTGGTGGCGGTGAGGGGGATTAAATTGATGGTAGAAGTGATCAAAAATGGACAGATCCCCAAGGCAGTCGCTGTATGGTTTAAACTCTGATTTAAATATATTTGTGGTGCTTTTATTTATTATTGTTGTTTTTAAAATTTATTTATTGAATCACCGTGAGAACAGTTACAAAGCTTTCAGCTTTAAGTCTTGGTCATACAATGATCAAACACCCACCCCCTTCACCAGTGCATATTTTCCACCACCAAGAACCCCAATATACCTCCATCCACCCCTCCCCATGCCTGAGAGGCAGATGATTTCCACTTAACTCTCTCTCTGCTTTGATTATATTCATTATTTCGACAAAAGATGCACCATTATTATTTGGAATTTCCCCCCAACAATCAAACCTGCTGAAAAGGCATCATGAAATAATTTGTTTTCTATTGCTGGTTATGAAGACCATATGATGTTGATAGCAGCCACGTGATTTTGGATTTCTGATATTTTACTAATTAAGTCTGGAGGGATTTCTGCCAAAAGCCGCATAGTTCTGAGATTGGTTTGTGTCTCTCTGGGTCCATGGCTGCGCCGGAGAGCCGCTCGTGGGGGGCAACTCTTGGTATCGGCGGGGCAAGAAGCACTGTGCTTTTATTTTTATAATTTTTTTCACTGTTTCACTGATAACAGTGAATCAGTGAAACAGTGAAAAAATTTTATTTATTTTATTTTATTTTTGGCTTTTTGGGAGACACTTGGCAATAATCAGAGGTTACTCCTGGCTCTGCACTCAGGAATGACTCCTGGCGGTGTTCAGGGGACCATATGGGATGCTGGGGATTGAACCCAGGTTGGCTGCATGCAAGACAAACGCCCTCTCCACTGTACTATCGCTCTGGCCCTATTTTTATTTATTTATATTTTTGCAGCTTGTTGATCTCTTTCGAAATTTATTTTTGAGGCTCTGGATCATGGCCATTAATGACCTTTTATGGCACCAGAGGCAGTTCATGGGCATTGCTGTCAGGCGCCTGGAAAAACAGAGAGATGGGAGCATCTCTCTGGGAATGGACAAGGAGACTCCCAGAGAGCCTTGAGAGTTTGGTCACAAAACCCACATACCTGGGTTTTCCAGCCATTTCACTTATGGATGAGGCTTGTCCCAAACCTGTGGAGATTCGACCGTGAGTGTGGCAGTGATTGGGTTTGAAAGGTTTTCGGCTGCTGGGGCTCTGTTTGAGCAGGTGGTGAGCTCAGCTGTACCCCAACCCCCACCCCATCCCTGGCTGCCCCAGATGAGACTCAGCCTGGCATGTGGTGGTTCGCTGTGCTTCCACTTTATTATTTATTTATTTATTTTGCTTTTTGGGTCACAACTCGATGATGCACAGGGGCTACTCCTGGCTCTGAACCCAGGAATTATTACTGGCAGTGCTCAGGGACCATATGGGATGCCTGGGATCAAACTTGGGTCAAGGCCGATGCCCTCCTGGCTGCACTATGGCTCTAGCCCCTCGCTGTGCTTTTAAAAATATCACTCCCCTTTCTCTTCTGTCTGTGGTGGTTGTGATGATTGGAGGCTGCACACGCACACTGGTTGCACGTTCACCAGAAATTGTACACTTCACCTGTGGGGAGCTTGAGTTCACACACTCTGATGTTGTACCAAGGGGTCCCAGAAGGCAGAGACCCCGCAGACTGCACTCTCTGTGTGGGACAGCAGGCTCCCAACTCTCATGCCAGCTGGGTGCTCGCATGGCAGAAACTTTTTGCCCCTGTGCCATCCCTGGCGACCCTCTGACAGGTGTGCTTTAATATGACTTGTGCTTTAATGTAACTTTTGGTCGGTCACAAAACCCACATACTTCTCATCTTCTCCACCAGTTTCCCGAGATCCTGCAACAGACAGCTTCCTCAATGACAGGGATCCTGCCCCCCCGAGAATTCCTTTGGGCCGTCTTTGAGTCTGTTCGGAACAGCAGTGACGGGGACACCAAGTCTCACCCCAGTCCTGGTGGGTATTTCTGGAGCCTCTGAGCTGATACTTTTAACAGAATCCACGAGGCCAAGATGTTTTCTCTCCTGGAGACAGGGTACAACGTTTATAAGGCCACATCAAAGACTTGCATCTTTGGCGTCACGTCCTGTCCTCCTTATTCAGGCTTATCTATTAAGTTTATAAGGTTTATTGGGCGGAGATGTGCAACCCACATTTCAAAACAGGATCGAATGGCACAATGGCTAAGCATTGCAGTGTTGGCAACAGACTGGCTGGGTTTGGAACCTGGGGATTTCTGGCTGTGGGTCTGCGTAAGTTCCTCAAGATCCCTGTGCTTCAGTTTTCATCCTCTTGAGAACTGTGGGCAAAGCGAGTCCACATTATATTGTGGGAGGGATCACTGGTGAAGTCTTTGAGCCTGCTCACAGCAGTACCTGGTATACAGCGAACGCCTAATACGGGATAGACATGGTTCTTGTTCCCATTTTTATTCTCCTGCACCTACTAAGAGTAGACTTGTGTCAGGCAGGGAGGAAAGAAAGTTAGTCAAACTCAACAATAAACACAATCAGAATGGTCAATAGGCCTATGCTTGCTTGCTTTCCTGTAGCAAATGCATTTTGAGTGCCAATGATGGGAACAAAACCAAGATTCCTCTCCTCTTCCTCTCACCTGGGAGGAAACCAGGCCACGAAGTTCACCCTGGATGGACCAGGCTTTCAGTGTGTTGGGATGCCAACGGCCACGGAGGGAAACAATCATGTTGGAGAGGGTGGGAGTGGAATTAGAAAAGGAAACAGTGCAGGTAGGTCTCCCCAAGAAGGTGACCTCTGAGAAAGGGGAGCCTGGGCCACTGGCCTGTGGCCATTTGGAGTCCAGATCTTCCAGGCGGGGTGGTGGAATGGGAAATGAAGGTGGGGAGGCCAGGGTGGCAGCCAGGCAGGAAGAGGGTCTTATACCTTGGGGGAACTTGGCTTTTCATCAGATGGGGAGTCTCAGGAGCACTGAGCAAGGAAGCATCAGGGTCTGATTTCTGTTTATCATGCACAATCATTCCCTCACCCCTGTCCTATGGGGCAGGCACTGCTATTGCTCCTTTGGGCAGAGGAAGCACTGGGTCACACCCAGGGATGCTCAGGGGTAACTCCTGGCTCTGCGCTCAGGAATCGCTCCTGGTGGCACTCAGGGAAATGTATGTGGTGCCAGGGATTAAAGTAGGTTTGTAAAGTACAAGGAAAGTGTGGAATCATACCATCTATCTCTCTGGCCCCTTTCCTATTTTCTTCTTTCTTCCCTTTCTTCCTTCCTTCCTTCCCTCCCTCCCTCCCTCCTCCCTCCTTCCCTCTCTCCCTCCTTTTCTCCCTTCTTCCTTCCATTCATCTTTCCTTCCTTCCTTGGTTCTTGAGCCACTCTTAGCAGTACTCAGGGATTACTCCTGTCTTTGACTCAGAAATTACTCCTGGTGGTACTCGAGGACCATATGGGGGGCTGGGAATCAAACCCCCATTGGCTATATGTTATACAAATGCCCTATCCTCTGTACCATCTCTCTGCCCGCCTCCTCTTATTTTCTTGACAAAAGAAAAATTGAGAGAGATTAAGAAAGAAACTTTTGGGGAGCTAGTACAGCAGGTAGGGCATGTGCCTTGATCCCTGGCACCCCATATGGTACCCTGAGTCTGCCAGGAGTAACCCCTGAGCACCACTGATTGTGGCCCCCATCCCCAAACCAAAAAATTACAAAAACACAAAAGCCCTTTATATTGGGGGGAGGGGGCACACACTGGCAATGCTCAGGGGTTATTCCTGCTCTGCGCTCATGAATTAGTCCTGGCAGTGCTCAGGGGATATTATGGGGTGGGGTGCCACGGGTAGAACCCTGATTGACTGCACACAAAGCAAGTTCCTGACCTGCTGTGCTCTTTCTCCAGCCCCAGTGAAGAAACTTTCTCAAAGTCCCAGAGTTGGTTCACAGCCACTCATGGGCTTGGAGCTGAAGCTGGTGGTGTTGCACTCATGGCCCTCACAGCCTCTCAGTATCTCTCCTCACGGGGAGTGTGAAGAGTCTGCACAGCAGGGAGCAAGCTCTGTCCTGGGCCCAGTCAGCTCTCATCAGCCGAGTCTGTGCATTGTGGCTCTGCTTGTGGTAATTGATGAGTTACCACTTGGCTTCCTTAAGTGAGTTTTTGTGTGCATTGGATTCACTCTGTGAATATTCGCCGAGGACCTACTGTGTGCCAGTCCCTGCTCTAAGGACCAGGAGCACAGCAGCGATAAGATCAAGTCTCCATGGCATTATTTAGCTACCTCTTCCTCTCTGATTCTCTTCTGGCCCTGGATCCTGTTTTCATAGAAAGATGGAGTGGGATGAGGGTCTAGGAGGGAGGGTCTGAGTCTGCTTCCAGGGGGTCAGGATAAAGATGTATAAGGACTACACACAGCATCCTTGTCTTGGAGGGCACTTCATTTTCCTTGAAAGGGCTCTGAGAAGGGCCTGGCTGTGGGCTTGGAAGTTGAATTTATTAGGAGTTGGGTTTATCCCTGTGGTTTGTTGCTAAGAGACCCAGGATTGCACTTAAGACAAGGAGCTGTGGGTTTTGTGCCCGATTTGGGCTTGCCTGGGTGAGCATAGACAGTGCCTCCTTGTTCACGGGGCTGTGGTTTGCATAGAAGGATCAATTTAATCAAAGAGTTAAATGATTGGTCTTTCTCCTGTTGCCAAGGCAAATGCACCAGGCCCATTTCTTGCTCCTGGGATGGGAAGGCCAGGGTTCCCACTAAAAATCTTTTATGGATGATCAGTGGTCTTCTCTTTCCATCCTGGGATGGGAGTGCTCCTGCCTCAGGATTCCGGAAGTTTTAACTCTGCACTGCAAACACAAATGCAGAGATGGTGGTAGGTAGGTAATAGAAATGATCAGAGCGGTGCACAATTATTGATCCGGTCCCTGGCATCATCATTCTTCGTAAAGACTCAGGCAGTCCTTCCAGAAGTCCCATGTGAGAGACTCTCCTCACTTCATCCATGAGGAAACTGAGGCACAGAGGGAAATTTTTGTTTTGGATCTGAATCTAAAGCTCACGGCCCATCAGAATGTACTCAAATCCCGACGTTACTATCCACGAAGCCAACGGGAGAAGCCGTGCTATCATTTCAAAGGAGAAACCTACATTTCCTGAAATTCTCTCTCTTCTGTCCCTCCCTTCTCCACAGCTCCCCATTCTTCAGGCTGCCACAGGGTCGTGGCTCCTTCTTCCGACGCCGTCTTCAGTTTGGGGGAAGCCAACGTCTGCTGGACCCCCCAGGACCTGCTCTGCATGGAGGAAGATGTGTTTGCCAGGAATGTGGAGCTACTGGGGGCCGTCAGGGGCTTCAGCCTGGCTCAGCTGCTGGCTCTGAAGGAGAAGACGATCCAGGTGAAGTCCCATCTCGGGGAGGAAATTTGCCCTTGGGGAGACAGCCTTGGCCTTGGGGTCTCCACAGGTCTTTGCAGGGAATCTCCATAATTGGCGGTCACGTGCCTTGTTTAGTGGAAATCTCTGCATTGGTGCAGGACTGCAGTTTGAGGTTCAAATCCAAGAAGTGGGGCCGTGCTAAGTTCTTCTAGTACTTCTTTATTGGGAAATGAGATGGGACCATGTCCTCTTATGCACACAAAGGAAGTCCAATTATTATTATTATTATTACTGATAGATCACCGATCCCAGCCGACACAGGCAGAGGGACAGAGACAAGTAAAAGTTTATTGGGGTACACTCCTGGACAGATTCCATGAACCTCTGATGAGGCTGGGGTAAACCCGTGCCCTGGGAGAGACTAGGGGGGATTTAAGTTGTCTTGGTCTGGAAAAAGGAGGAGGAAACAGAGACCAGTGGAACCGGGTGTGCTTGGTCTGACCTGTTATCCATAGGGGATGGATGTGACAAAGCATGGAATGCAGCCTGGGGGCTTCCTGACTCTAGGTGGGCCCTCAGTCCTGTCTTCCTCACTGGGGACAGTGTGATCTTTGATTCAGGGAATACTGCTGACTCATAAGTAGTTGCCATTTGGTCCTGATTGCCATTTTGTCACAGTTATTATTATTAATAATAGGTTACACTTGGCAGTGCTTACTCCTGGCTTACTCCTGGCTCTGTGCTCAGGAATCACTCCTGGCAGTGCTTGGGAAACCCTATGGGATGCCGGGGAATGAACCTGGGTCAGCTGCATGCAAGGCAAACAGTTCTACCCACCATACTATTACTCTGGCCCCAGAAAGTTCAATTATTATTACTTTTAAAAAGTTTAGACACCATGCATTACATAGTTTTTTTTTTTTTTTGCTTTTTGGGTCACACCCAGCCGATGCTCAGGAGTTACTCCGGGCTCTGCACTCAGGAATCACCCCTGGCGGTGCTCAGGGATGCTGGAAATCGAACCCAGGTTGGCCACATGCAAGGCAAACGCCCTACCCGCTGTGCTATTGCTCCAGCCCTATGTAGTTTTTTTATGATGGGTTTTCAGTTCCGTCCCACCCCCCGTGCCCCCATCCCTTCACCTCTGACCCCAGCGTCCTGGCCACCTCTCATCCTGACTCCGTAATGACCCATTTTCAGTTTTACTGCTGCGCGTGGGGTCCCATGCCGACAGGCTGTTGATCTATTCAGACCCACACCTCAGGGTTACGCACGCGACTTACTCCCAGGCTGCCTCCTCTTGCTCCCCCTTCAATTTCGCCCTCAGTCCTTGGCATTTTGGTCTCTGTGACCTCGAGCCAGTGTTTTGCCCACCTTCGCTTTGTACCACCCCCCAGACGTTATCCACTATACCCTGGATGTGTGAGAACATCCAGCGCTTGACCTTGGTCTTCTGATTTCAGAAGTCAAATTCTGCACTTGCTCTGCCTGACTGTCCTGGATTCTCGCCTTTTCTTCATCCCCTCAGAGACCTTAACTGTGCTGTTCACAGGTTTTCACAGACTTGTTGAAAATTTTCTTGGAAATCTTCCTGAAAGGAGGATGGGCAGGGGATCCACATCATGAAAAGGCCTTTGATGTGGCATGGTAGGAGCACGGTGGGCTGTGGAAGCCCCCGCCTCCCCCCACCCCATGGAGTTGGCATTGAATTTTTTTTTTTTGCTTTTTGGGTCATACCCAGCGATGCTCAGGGGTTACCCCTAGCTCTGCACTCAGGAATCACTCCTGGCGTTGCTTGGGGGACCATATGGGATGCCAGGGATTGAACTCAGGTCAGCCGCGTGCAAGGCAAACTCCTTACCCACTGTACTATCACTCCAGCCTGCCATTGAATTCTTTAAGACCCCATTTATAACTTTCTTTTTCATTTAAGCAGTCCTAATATATTGTCGGGAAGTTAGAAAATAAGAAAGGAAGTAAATTGTAATCTTTGACCCAGACTAAAGTACTGTTAATAGTTTGGCATATTGACCTACAGCTTCCTGAGTTTGGTCAATGTTAATAAAATATATGGAGCATTTCAAGCACGTGTTTCATTTAGATTCATGTATCTACATTAGCCAAAAATGGAATCAGACTCTTCTACTATTCAATAACTTGCTTTTAACATCCAACAGTATTCATGGCTTTCCATACCAGGCATGAGAGGATCAGGCTTTGGAATAGCTGTATAATATTTTTATATGACTGTTCCTTGTTTATTTAGCCAGTTGTTCGATTTTTTGATGGTTTCTATGCTTTTAGTGCCTCAAGGTATGAATTTGTGCATGTTTCTTTGGGCACTTGCCTAATTATATACTTAGGCTAAATTCCCAGAGATGAAGTTTCTGGGTCAAGCCGAATAAATCATTACACAATTTTGCATACCTCTAGTTATTGCCCTCTACAAAGCTTGCAGCAGTGTTTTATTCTTCACATCAAAAAATAGAGTATATTTTTTTCCGGGGAGCTCTGTGAAACTGTGGATCAAACCAGGGTGGGGCCAGACATGCCCTCTGCCCCCCATACTATCCTCCTGGCCTCTTTTTTCTGTTTTTTTTTCTTTTTGGGTCACACTCGGTGATGCTCAGGGATAATTCCTGGTGCATGCACTCAGGAATTACTCCTGGTGGTGCTCAGGTGACCCTGTGGAATGCTGGGATTTGAACCTGGGCTGGCTGTGTGCAAGGCGAACTCCCTACCTGCTGTACCATCACTCTAGCCCCTGTTTTTTTTTTTTAATCACACCCCTGTTGCTCAGGAGACTGTGTGATGCCACACCTTGAACCCGGGGCTCCCGCATGCCAAGCACTCGCTGCAGTCCTTGGGGTGATGTCTCTACCCCCTCAGATCCGTTTTAAACTCTCTTTAATGTTTAATGTTTAATCTGGGCTTTGCTTTTTCATCTCCAGGTTTGGGACATGCCCTCTTCCTGGAGAGAGCACCAGATTGTGTCCCTGGGGTGCATTGCCCTGGCTCTGAATGAGACGGAGCTGGAACAGCTTGATCTCAGCTCCATTGATGCCGTGGCTTCCCTCAGCCAGCAGACAGGGTGGACACCAGGACAGGTGGGTCGATGTTGCCGGATCTTTGATTTATTCCATTTCTATTCTAAGTTTGTGTGTCTTTTTTCTTGGTACCTTGAATGGACTACTAGTCTATAATTGTTGCTTTGAAAATCCTTGTGCTGGGGCTGGAGTGATAGCACAGCAGGGAGAGCATTTGCCTTGCACACAGCCAACCTGGGTTTGATCCCCAGCTTCCCATAGGGTTCCCTGAGCACTGCTAGAAGTGATCCCTGAGTGCAAAGCCAGAAATAGCCTCTGAGCATTGCCACATGTGGCCCAGAAAGCCAAAAAAAAAAAAAATCCTAGTGCTAATTTGGTTATCACTGCCATTACGAGGACTGTCTTTGTCTCCTAACTATTGTCTTCTGAGTTGCAAGCCTAGTAATTTGTTTTTGTTGTTTTGGGGGCCACACCCAGCAGTACTCAGGGTTTGCTCCTGCCTCTCTGCTCAGGGAGCACTCCTGGTGGGGCTCAGGGGTGCTCAGGTCGGCCATGTGCAAAGTCCCCCTACAGGCCTAGTGATTTTGACTGAATGATGGGCTTTGTGAATTTGCCATTGCTGAGTAGTTTGTTTCGTTGTTCTTTGGAGCATCTTCAGCGTTATTTGGCAAACATGTAAGCCGCTCTTGGATCAGTCCTTTTGAAGTTTCCTTTTGAGCTCAATTAGGGGAGGTCCAGAGGGACCTTTGTTCTGTGGTTCATTTATCTCCGTGATGGAGACGTGCTCCTTTGGCAGTCTTTACTTGCTGCCCGAGTGTTTTAGGGTCTGTCTAAGGGAGTGAGCACGCTCGCTCCTTCCAGCTCTGCAGGAGCTCTGGGGATGGTTAGACTAGACTCCTTGTTTCCTGATGATTCTATATTTATGTGAAGTTTCACTCTTTGCATGTTAATATCAGTTTTAAATTCTTAGCCCATTTTTTTAACTTTCATTTTTTAATTAGAGAACTGTGTTTTACAAAGTCCTATATACTAGGCATGTAAGATTTCAACACCAGTTCCACCACTCATGTCAACTTCCCACCACCAATGTTCCCATATTCCCTCCCCACCCCACGCCCACCCCATCCCGGCCTGTCAACCTGACAGGCACGTGACAGAGGTCCAGTGGTTGTAGCTTAGTTTAACACATCTCATTCTGTCCTTGCAGATTTCCACAGCTGGAGCTTTCTCTCCCTCTCTGCAGGTGACAGGTGGTTCTACTTCTCAGGTGCTTTGTCCCACAGATAAAAAGTACTCCTGTTTTGGGGCTGGAGTGATAGCACAGCGGGGAGGGTGTTTGCCTTGCACGCGGCTGACCCAGGTTCGATTCCCAGCATCCCATATGGTCCCCTGAGCACCGCCAGGAGTAATTCGTGAGTGCAGAGCCAGGAGTAACCCCTGTGCATTGCTTCTCTGAACTGGAATCTCTGTATCCCCCAATTCAGACCAACTCTAGGTCCAATAGAATAATTCTCCAGTCCCATGGCCTGGACGTGACCACTGGGCAGTAGGTGAAGGCAAGCACAGCTCAGTGCATTTTCTCTCCTCACTTTGGCATTAAAGCCATGTGCTCTTGTTGTCCCGGGTCTGAGTATAGTTGTGGCATCTATGTGGTTCTATTTGCCTTTTGGTTGAGAAATTCTAAAGATCTTTCTGAGCACACAGAGACGGTCACTCTAGAATTGTTCATCAGGGACTGGAGCCATAGCACAGCAAGTAGGGTATTTGCCTTGCCCGCGGCCAACCCGGGTTCGATTCCCAGCACCCCATAGTCTCTCCTGAGCACTGCCAGGAGTAATTCCTGAGTGCAGAGCCAGGAGGAACCCCTGAGCATCGCCGTGTGTGACCCAAAAAGAAAAAAAAAAGAATTGTTCATCACTTCGGAGAGAATTGTTCATCAATGGGGAGAGAAGTTCATCACTGTGTAGCTGCTGTGTGTTGCTCAACACCACTCCTGTCAGCGGTGGACCACGTACTCGGCATCTCCACGGAGCCTGTGAGCAGAGCAGGAAACACCATCAAGGCATGTGTAATGACACTCTCTGCCACTCCGATGAATCCGCCTCACCATGCATCTCTCAGGACAGAGCCCCACCGTGAAGCAGGGCCTGGCCATATTACTGCCAAGAAGGAGCTTTGTGGCTGCATTCGCAGGCAGCTCTTTCCTCAGGCGTTTTCACAGGATCTGACAAGCGATGACATCATGAAGTACCCTCTTTTCATTCATTTTTGGAAAAGTCCCAGCGTTGACTTGATAGCAAGACTGTCCACTGTGACCATCACTCCAGGCAGGGACAGACTCTGTTGGGTGGTTAGGCGGTGGAGTCTCTCTCACTGTGACCTCATGAACTGAGCAATGGGAATGGGGGTACAGTAGAGAGCCTCAGGGGTGTCCACATTGGGGTTCTGGAATCTGTGAATTGGCTGACTTCTGTGGCAAAGGAGGCTTTGTGAATATGACTGAGGGTCTTGACGGGCTCCACAGAGGCCCTTTAAGAGGGAGGCAGGAGGCCACAGAGAGAAAAGACCTCTGGGAAATGGAAGCAGAGCAACACCCAGGGACCTGCAGGGGCTATTCAGAGTTGATGGAGACTGGGGTGATGGGCCCCGGAATGCTGGCAGCTAGGGAAGGCAATTCTCTCTAGAGACTCCATAAGGAGCATACTCTGACATCCCCACCGAGGACTAAGACCCCCCCCCCCGAACTGTAACAGAATAATTTTTGTTTATTTCCATATGCTCAGTCTGTGGTTGTGAGTTAGAACAGAAGGGGCCCCATCTGGGGTGGTGCGCCCAGAGGCGGCAGGGGTTAGCTACGGACTAAGCCAGCTCATGTTCCCTGCTCACATCAGCATCTTCTAGTCAAGACCACCCTGTCATGGAACTCAGGATGGCACCATTCTGAGGAACACAGTGTGACTTGTACCTCCTGGACTCAGGCAACTTGAAGGTCCCGGCCATAACGATGTGCTGAATTAGTGTATGTAAGATAACTTGGAGCAATGCCTGCTATCAGTGTACCAAGACTAATGAGTTTTTTTGTGGGGAGAGGGGAGTGGAGCGGCATCCCCCTGCAGTGCTCAGGGTTTACTGTGGTTCTTGTACTCAGGGATCACTCCTGGAGGGGCTCAAAGGACCTTATATGGTGCTGGGGACACACCCTTGTATGTCAGTTTTTGGGGGTTTGGTCCATACTCACTGGCAATCGGAGGCTCTTCCTGGCTTGGTGCATGGAGGATCATGTAAAGCCAGGGATGGCACTTGGGACAGGATGGAACCCTGGCCCTCTACAGGACCCTGCAGTGCCAGGGATGGAACGTGGGACTCCTGCAGGACCACGCAGTGCCAGGATGGAGCCTGGGCCTCCTTCTGCAGGACCCTGAAGTGCCAGGGATAGAGTCCAGGCCTTCTGCAGGATCATGCAGTGCCAGGGATAGAACCTGGGATTTCTGCCGGACCATGCAATACCAGAGATGGAGCCTGGGCCTTCTGCAAGCAAAGCAAGTGTTCAGCCTCTTGATCTCCCTCACTGATCCCAGAAGAGTCCTTCTCACTGCTGCTGTTGTCATCACCAGCCCCATCGCCATCACATTGCCACCACTTCTTTGGAAGTTTCAGTTTCCTCTTAGGCAAGATGACAGGTCCAGCCACTGAAGGTTTGTTCACCCCGATGTTTAGAAACCCTGGGCTTCCTTGGTTTTCAAAGTGGGGCTGGCTGGTTCGGGAAGGGTCCTACTCCCCTCGCACAGTTAAAGTCATTCAGTTGTCAGCCTGGGAGAAACAGGACAGTACATCCAGCTTAGAAACTCACACATCTCCTTCCCTTTGCATCAATTTTAATTTTCCCATACATGGCAGTGAGATTTATCAATATGTTTGTGGAGGATATGAAAACCTAACATTTGCATATATCATTTGCAGTCAGTTCCTCAACTTTAGCTCCCAATCAAACCCTTAAATGCATGTTTCTAGATTAATAGTCAGACCTGGCGGAACTACATTAAGAGATAGTTCAGCTTAAAAACCAATCTGAGGGGGAAAAACTATTGAGGGAGCCCGAGGGATGAACAGAGAGATTGAAATCTCACAGCAATTCATTTTTCAGAGGTTAATATTGCCTAAAAGTGTTGATATTAATTGTCTTGGAGTCATTATACATACACTGGTCCAGTCATTTAAGGAAATGTATTTTGACTTCTCACTTTGCAGGCTGAGTTTGCATTTTCTAGTTTCCAGTGGCAAGGACAGTTTAATATTGCATCTTTGAAGTAATTTTATTTGAATTGTATTTTTGCACTTTTCATTTCAAAATGGGCATGCCTGGTAGTTGCAGAACACAAATTGCTACAAGCACAAATGACTGAAACTGGATTGTGAAGACTGAATGATCAAAGTTCGAAATCTCACTCGAGTCTCCACACCCCACCATCCTCATGGCTGGGCACAGCTTCTTAAGTCAGAGTATCTGCATTTTAAGTTTAGGACTTAGAACTTTTTTTTTTTTTGCTAGGCTGGATTGGTGTAGTTTGTTCTTTATGTCTCAGTGTCCTTGTCAGCAAACAGGGATAGTATTAATATTTGCTTGTTTATCAATATTACTAATAATTATATTAATAGCACTGTAGCAGTGTCCTCCCATTGTTCATCGATTTGCTTGAGTGGGCACCAGTAACGTCTCCATTGTAGGGCTTATTGTTACTGTTTTTGGCATATCAAATACGCCACAGGGAGCTTGCCAGGCTCTGCTATGCGGGCAGGATACTCTTTGTAGCTTGCTGGGCTCTCTGAGAGGGATGGAGGAATCGAACCCAGGGTGGCCACGTACAAGACAAATGCCCTACCCACTGTGCTATCACTCCAGTCCTTGATATATTAATATAATAGACTATGATATATTAATTATATGAATATAATTAATACTTATAGCAATAGCATTAATATTTATTAACACTTGTATTTGCTTGAGCTCGAGTGGGTCCAGTAACGTCTCCATTGGAGATTTTGTTGTTACTGTGTTTGGCATATTGAATACATCACGGGTGGCTTGCCAGGCTCTGCCGTGTGGGCGAGATACTCTCGGTAGCTTGCAGGGCTCTCCGAGAGGGGCGGAGGAATCGAACTCGGGTCGGCCATGTTGGCTGCGTGCAAGGCAAACGCTCTACGGCTGTGCTATTGTTGTGAGAATTATAGATGAGAGAGTACATGCAAAGTGGGCAAGACACCATTGCCACAGAAGAAGCATTCAGTACTTACTAAGCATTTAGGACATGTATTCTTCTTTGAGGATGTTTTCCTCTTAGCAGGAAGTCACTAAAACCCTTGGGGGACAGTGGTGGTGGGAAATGAACACTGGTAGAGGGATGGGTGTTGGGACGTTGTATGACTGAAAACTGATCACGAAACTTTGTATATCCATATCTCATGGTAATTCAATTAAAAATATTTTTTTTAAGGGAGGGAGTCTGTGACTCAGATCAAGCCTGGTACATGGCAGAGAAAATCTCCCCAGAGCAGGGGGGCAGCGGGGTGCAGAACTCCACCACCAAGTGCAGGGGGCACACACAGCCCACACTCTGGACAACCTGTAGTCATAGGAACAGCCTGTAACCTTCTCTCCTTAAGGGGAGAATCCTCCTGCTGCTGGGGTCACCCAGGTCGGCCTTCAGAGTGCTGGAACCGTGGACATAGTGCCACCAGGCTGGGCACTGAGATCCGAGCCCCCGGTGGGGTGCAGGTGCCTGGCATTTTGCTGTGATGGTTGTTGCTTGGGGCCTCACCCAGTCAGGGTTCTATGCTCAAGCTTGGCTCCTGGCAGTGCTCAGGGGATTGAGCCAGAATTGAGGGGTACAAGGCCAGTAGCGACCTCCAGGACTGACTCTCTGGCTCTAAGCAGCTGGCACTTAAGCTTGGAAGCTGTGATGGTGAAGCTTGTTGGGAGCTGAATGATGTGGTCCCCCTCGGCCAGGCTCCGCTGTGGGGTTCTACAGAGCTCCTGTCTGCTGGGGCCTCTCCTGGGACTGCTTCTCAGCTCAACCGCCTCCTGCATCCAGGCAGCACTCAGGAGGAATCTCCCTTAGCTGGTAAGCGAGGCAGTTCTATCATGGAGGATTCTGATCTGATCAGTGGGAGAAAATACCTCTCTATATCTGCCTGTATCTACCTGGAACTGTGAGTGTGGCCGACCCGACCCATGTCTGAACCCCGACCCGAACCAAGTCCGAAGTCTGAACCCCCAGTCCAGCAGAGGGGCAATGCTGCAGGCCTGGAGAGCAGGTTAGTGGAAGCAGCCCGGAGGACAGGAAGGCAGAAGCACGTCTGGTCCTTCTCATCAAGGACACTAGTGGTCTCTCAGGAGCTGGTGTTAAGGATGGAAATTTATTATGTGTATCTTTGGTTTTTATCAGAAATCTATCCGGCAAGCTACCGAGAGTATCTCGCCTGCATGGCAAAGCCTAGCAAGCTACCCATGACGTATTCCATATGCCAAACACAGTAACAACAAGTCTCACATGGGGACATTACTGCGCCCGCTTGAGCAAATTGATGAACAACGGGAGGACAGTGCTACTTTCAAGAGATGATTTTGCTTGTGGGTGGAAAGTTTGGAAAAAAATGCCCACTGTGTCAGTACTTGGGATGAGCTTCCTTGTTCCAAGCTAAAAAAAAAAAGTGCTGATTTTAGGAAAGTTCCTGCAGCCAGACTCATAAGATGATGCTGTGTGTGTGCACCTCCCACCCCTCCCCTTGCTTGAGCATGAAACAAAGCAGTGATGCGCTTGCAGAACTGCCCTGCGAAATCATGCTCTAGGACCCCTGAGCTTGGTCTCCGGCTTCAGGTGCTGGCCTAGCCCAGACCCAGTGGTCCGGTCAAGGATAAGGATCTCCTTATCCCCCCACCATGGATTGTCTTGGTGTGTTCGGATAAGTGAGTGCCCAGTTACAGCACTTAAACTCATGGTTCTCTCCGACAGTAGAGAATAGACACTCTCTGCTTCTGCCCAGGGGTGGGACTAGCCCCCCGGGAGAGTCAGTGTATAAAGTATCCTGGTAAGTATACCCTGGGATCACAGCCTGAAGCCTATGCATGAATGCCAGGCCTGCATGGCTGGCTGCGAGAATACAGCCAAGACACTCAGCACCGGAAGGCTTGGGTGAACCAAGGGGTCTACCCCAAATGATGGCACAAACACGGGGGTGGGTCAAGTTCAAAGTCACTGGGCCTGAGCTGCTTGCCTGAGAAGAATTAAAAGCTAGTTCGTGTCCCATGCATCAGAACAAACATGAATAATTCTGTTGTGGTTGAGGAGTTTTGCTTGGAGGTGTTGCAGAGATGATGGGTTGTAGTTTTCTCTTTGGTGATATCCTGGTTTGAGTATCAGGTAATATCAACTTCATGAAATGCTTTTGTAAGCATCCCTTCTTTCTTTCTTTCTTTCTTTCTTTCTTTCTTTCTTTCTTTCTTTCTTTCTCTCTCCTTCCTTCCTTCCTTCCTTTTTTATTTCTTTCTCTCTTTCTCCTTCCTTCCTTCCTTTCTTTCTTTCTTTCTTTCTTTCTTTCTTTCTTTCTCTCTCTCTCTCTCTTTTGTAGGGTCTCAGAACAGGCCCATGCTCTTTGAAAATTGGATTAAACAGTAAAGATGTTTGGTTTAGAACTTTTGTGGGTTTATTATTATTAAATATTTTTTATTGAATCACTGTGAGATAGATAGACCCTTGCAAAGCTGATCATGATTAGTTTTCAGCATACAGTTCCCAGCACCAGTATTCCCAGTTTCCAGGTTTTGTTATGTTTTGAATCAAAAAACTTCAATGATAGTATTTGTGATTGGTCATTTTGGCTTTTCTGTTTCTTATGTTTTGATATCAGTAGTCTGTATTGATGCAGTTCTTCTAAGTCATCAAATTTGCAGGCATATTGTTCATAGTAACCTTTATAATCCTCTATATTTCTATTGTGATTTCACATGTACCGTTGGTGAAAATGTAAGTTGGTGCAACTGCCTTGAAAATGGCATTGAAGTTCCTCAATAGGCAAAAGATAGAGCTACCATATGATTCAATAATCCTCAGTACTCCCACTTCTGGATATCTATAGAAAGAATACAAAAATATCAACACAAACTGTTATTTTCTATTCTTGCAGTGTTTATTTATTCATTTGGTGTTGGGCCACACCTGGCATTGCTCAGACCTTACTCCTGGCTCTGTGCTCAGGGCTCACTTCTGGGGTTTGTGAGGACCATATGGGATGCTGGGCACCAAACCCTGGTCGACCACATACAAGTCAAGCATCGTACCTGCTGTACTATCTTTCCAGAAACTTTATTGAAGTATTGTTTACAGGAGCTAAGCTGTGGGAGCCACTGAAAGGCTACCAGTTGGGTAACAATTGGATGGTTGATTGGCTAAGATAATGTGGCACATTATTTTGGCTATTAAAACTTTTTGGCTATTAAAAATGATGAACAGATGTGCATTTGTAATGGAATAGACAGAGCATGAGGGAACTCTGTAAAACAAAACAAACCAGAAGGAAACAGGTTAAGTACTGGAAGATTATACCTATGTTTACAATAAAATAATAAAAATTAGTCAATAAACTAGTGGACAATGATAGTAAAACCAAGATTACTTCGGGATAAAAATAATAAATGGGGCTGGAGTGATAGTACAGTGGGTAGAGCGTTTGCCTTGTTTGATCCCCAGCATCCCATGTGGTCCCCCAAGTACTGCCAGGAGTAATTCCTGAGTACAGAGTAAGGACTAACCCCTGAGCATCACCAGTGTGACACAAAAAGCCAAAAACAAAAATGAAAAATAGCAAAAAAAAAAACCACCCGAAAACAGAGACTTAAATTTTTGTTGTTGTTCCTGCTGTTGATTTTTGGGCCATACTCAGTGTGCTAAGGCTTACTCCTGGCTCTGCACTCAGAAATGATTCCTGGGAGTCCTTGGGGGACCACCTATGATACCAGGGATTGAACCCAGGTCAGTTGCATGCAAGGCAAGCACTTTACACTCTGTATTATCTCTCCGGCTGCCTAAAAATAGTAAACGGGCTGAGCAGACAGGTAGTAAGTCAGTAGTGCGTAAAAAGGAAAAAAAATAACAAAAGTTCTGAAAAGTTTGTCTGCTGATACAGAAAAGCTGAAATGCCCCAAAGGTTCTGATGGTCATGTGTGGATAAAGGAGAAAAGCCGGCAGAGATTCAGGCTGTAAGTTCCTTTAATGCCAGCAAGGGATGCGGGGCTTTCCATTGGAAAGATGCTTCTGTCAGCCAGTGACATACTCGAGGCAGCGCATTGGGACCGTCTGTCTGATCCAGTGAACAGAATGCTCATCGGGAGGGTGGAGGCTCAGGCATCCTTCCCAACTTGGTGGGTGGGTCATCCTCTCTCCCCTTCCTCCCGTCTGTAGGCTAGATCCATTTTGCAAGGATTCTTGGAGGATGCTGCCTGCCCCATCCAGGATCTCAAGAGTTTCCACTTAGTAGGACTTGGCGCGTGCTTGTGTACTCTGAACGCGACTGAAATCTCACTCATCAAGACCTCAGAGTTCAGGTAACCAAAACAACAGTGTGCCGTGGCGAATGGCGGATGGATGGAAGAATTCATTCAGCAGGGTGTTCTCAGCAGCCTTCCTGGGCTAACGTAGGGAGTGAATTAGCTGGATCCTTTCCCAGTGCAGCCTCCTTACATTTGCACTGCCTTTTTTTCCCTTTTGGTTCGGAGAGTCTCTCAAGCTCACTCATCCGCCCTCTCTCCCTCTGAATCAGGCTGGTAGTGGCCAGTATTGGAACCTTGCCCTGCAGCGTTCAGGTCTTGGCTGAGTTTAAGAAGAAGGCCGAGGTTGTGTTTGGACTTTCTTCACAGTGGTCCAGCTCTGTCTTGCAGGAACTTGGGATGATTGCGGGTAAGGAGCACCCTGAAGGAGCCCTGTTCTTCATTCCTGACCTTCTATCTGGGGGACATAAGAGCCAATAAGAAGTATCAGGACACCCCAGAGGGAAGATTTTTTTTTAATTGAATCACTGTGAGATACAGTTACAGATCTTTCATGTTTGAGTTTCAGTCATACAATGATCAAACACCCATTCCTCCACCAGTGCATATTTTCTACCACCAATGTCCCCAGTATCCCCCCCTCCAATCTCATCCTCCCTCTGCCTCTATGGTAGACAATTTCCCCCATACTGTCTCTCTAGTTCTGGGCATTATACTTTGCCTGAATTTTCCCACCACCATTGAAGCCTGCCTCCCTGGGGCAGACACTGTCACTGTCCTCCCATTGTTCATTGATTTGCTCAAGCAGGCCCAGTAACATTGTGAGACTTGTTACTGTGTTTGGCATATCGAATACGTCACGGGTAGCTTGCCAGGCTCTGCCGTGCAGGCTAGATACTCTCGGTAGCTTGCCGGGCTCTCCGAGAGGGGCGGAGGAATCGAACCTGGCTCGGCCTGGCATGTAAGGCAAACACCCTACCTGCTGTGCTGTCCCTCTAGCCCAGGGGCAGACAATAGATAATTTATTTTCTGTTGCTTATTTTGAATATTTTGAGAGGTCATGTGCCGCAAAAGCGGCTGCGTGCTTCTGGAATTCTAAAATTATAAATAGTTAGGGTCCAGAGACATCTCTGTAGGGCGCCAGTCCATCCTGGGATTCATTTGGGAGTCTCTGGACCAAGGCTGTTGGTATGCTGAGATGGCGTCTGGAGGCAGATTGTGAGTGTGACAGCCAGGACCACAAGGGGGCAGGGAGCCAGGGAGGGACGACCCAGCTCCTCTGCGGCTGCCATGAATGAGGTGGAGGGAAGATCTTCACATTAAAGCAAATCCCAGACTTCATGACTGGAAGTTGCAGGCAGCCGGGTCTGCAAATCTCCCTTTTAAAGACAAATTCTCTTGGGGGTTCTGGGGCCCAAGCGTGTGTTTTGGATGTGATTAAATAGGCTCCTGGATATTCTGAAGTTGTGCAAAGTGAAGCCCCTCCGGGCCATACATTTCACGGTGGGAGACAAATCAGGGATAATATGACCCACATTAAAAGAAGGTCGGGCCCAGAGAAAGCAAAGGAGTCCGCAGTGTGACTCTGGGGCCTTCCAGCAGGAGCAAAACTTGCCTCGAACGCGCAGATCTGTCCATTAGGCAGCATCATTAATAAAACAAGCAGGCTACCTCGGGCTGGAACTCATGCCTCCGCTTCCTTTTTCTCCCCAGCTGGATTAACCAAGGAAGAGCTCCAAACACTCGACAAGGAGTTGATGCCGCATTTCCAGCCATCAGCAATCAAACGCTTTCCTGATGAGATATTCAAAGTAGGTCCTCGGTGCGTCAAGGATAATGGGAGCTTGACCCCATTTCAGATTACAGGGAGGCAGATGGCCCTGGACCCAGGCTCTTGCAGTCAGGTTTCTGCTGACAGGATCAGAAACAAGTTGTGTGTCAACCATGGGTGGCTCACGAGACACTTTGCAGCAGTTTTTAAATTTTTAAAATTTATTTATGTGATTTTTGCCACTTAATTTATTTATGTTTTCCAATTTCCCCCTTGCACTTTATATAAACACTGTGATTTACAGAGTTGCTTATGATGATTTGTTACAGACATTCAATATTCCAACACCAATTCCACCATCCAGTATGTGTTATTATTATTTTTTAAAGTATTTTTTAGGTCGTTTTTCTTTTTTTTTTTTTAAAAAAGATTTTGATTTCTGTTTTAGTTAGAAAAAATTTTATGTTTGCCCTCTCTTCCTAGCACCGGGTAGTGATTTTCCATTTCTGATGATATGACAAGTTCATCTTCCCTAATCCATAACCCTTGGGGGCAGATCTATTTCAGAATTCAGCATTTTCCTGACTTTAGAAAGATCAATCTGTGAATGGACAGTGTTTGACTTAGCTCCCTCACTGGTGTCTGGGGAAGCACCTTGTAAGCCAACACATTCCTATTTCTGCAAAGAACTCGGTGACAAGTCAGACTAATTGGCATAAATAGAGACTAAAAATGGCTTCATGTCAAGTTGGGTCAGGTTTCACCAGCAAGTAAGTGCGTGTTAAACTTCTGGAATGAACTTTTAGTTTTCAGACTTCAGAATTGCAGAGGTAGGAGTGTGGACCTGCGTCACACTTCCTTTTTAAAAAATAAATGGGAGCTAATGTACTTGAGTTGCTTGAAAGGGCAAATCATTGGGCCAAATGATTCGTTGACGTGGGGAAATGTAAGAGGACTATGAGGTCAGCTGAAGTTGGGACACCTTGGATTCCTGGCCAGCAGGACGGGGAGTGATTGCTGATGTCTGAGGACAGCCTGGAGCTTTGGTCACTTGAGAACACATTCTCTCAGATAGGTTTGGGGACCCTGCCTGGTGCAGGCAGAGGGATAGAGACAAGTTAAAAGTGAAGGGATACGAGAAGTTGATTGGCTGGGGTAGAGCGCGCCCTGGGAGAGATTAATAATCACTTATCACTTAACTTCCCGTTAGTCGTCGATTTGCTCGAGCGGGCGCCAGTAACATCTCCATTTGTCCCTGTCGCGTGCTAGTGTAGCCCAATGGCATCTGTTCGCTCCGGGAACATGAAGGGCCTCAAACCGATCGTTCATGATCTTGACGAAGAAGTCTGACCATCTGGTAGGTGGGCGGCCACGCGGTCTCTTGACATCCCGTGGAATCCAGTCAGTAACAGCTCTAGTCCAACGGTCGTCTTTAAATCTCATTACGTGACCAGCCCATCTGATTTTCGACACCTTGGCAAATGAGGCAATGTCCCTGATTCTTGATCGTCGACGGATGTCAGAACTCCGGATTCTTTCTCTCATTTGAGTGAAACGTGATATTCCAAGCATAGCTTTTTCTATTCTTCTTTGGGAGACCTGAATAGTGTTCTCATCTTGTTTGCGTAGGGCCCAGGTCTCTGAGGCATATGTTAATGCAGGAAGAACAGTGGGGACTTTTAAGTTGTCTGGGGGTTGAGGGTGGGAGAGGGACCAATGGGAAGGGTGTGCCTGGTCTGGCCTTCTGTTATCTGTAGGGGATGGATGTGAGGAGCCATGGAATGAAGCTTGGGCGCCCGATGGACCATAAGTCCTGTCCTGGGGTGGGGGCAGGGTGATCTTTGATTCTGGGAGCGTTGCTATCACATCAGCTGATCACCATTTCGACCCGGCCGCTATTTGGTCCAAGCAGACCTTATGCTCCCCACCACCATGGTAAGGCACAGAAGGGGAATGGGTAACTCCCAGGAGGCCATGCTCTTGTCTTTGAACCCCGTCAGCATCAAGGACAGATCCCCCCCTCCCCCCCTGCATAGGTCCAGTCACTGATTTGAGGACATAGTCCTTGAGGTCACTGATTTTCCTTTCTGAGATGCTGCAGTTAGAACGGGCAGCTGGACCCTGGGCCCTGGCATCTTCTTCTACCCTGTGGGGAGTGCAGTTGTGTGCCCATGTTCCAGTGCTCAGACCATCTTCCTGACTGCCTGCATTCTGTTCAGCTCTGAGCTAGGAGCTCAAGGGAATGCAGAGCGAGGGGGTAGAATGGCATCTTGTGAGGAGCTTAGACTACAGAAAGAAGGCAGTGGGCTGAGAAGGAACAGGGCAAGCGAGGAGACCTGCTGAGTTGGGGAGCCTGGGTCTCATCTCTGGCAGACTGGGGACCATCCAGGATTACACCCCGGGATAAATCAGAAGTCTCCAGGTGTATGTGAAGTCTCCGGAATCTGAAATATTGCCAACCACTCTCCACTTATTCTTGGGAAACAACGCACTAAGCCCAGAGATACAGTCTGGCCTCTGGGTTGTGAGTTAGCCACACTGGCAAAATAATCTTTATAATGGAGACACTGTAGGTGTATGCCAGAACACTTATGGCGTGTGTGTGTATATATGTGTGTGTGTGAGAATGTGTGTGTATAGACACTGTAGGTGTATGCCAGAACACTTATGGTGTGTGTGTATATATGTGTGTGTGGTGTGAGTGTGTGTGAATGTGTGTGTGAGTGTGCATGTGAGGGTGTGTGTGTGGGGTTTGTGTGTGGGGTGTGTGTGTCAGTGTGTGAATATGTGTATGAGTGTGTGTTTAAGTGTATGTGTGGGGTGTATATGTATGAGTGTGTGGGAGGTGTGTGAGTGTGTGTGTAAATGTGTGTGTGGGGATGTGAGTGTGTGAGTTGAGTGTGTGATTGTGTGTGGGGTTATGAGTGTCTGTGTTTGTGAATATGTGTGTGGGGTGTGTGACTGTGTGTGTCAGTGTGTGTGGTGTTTGTGTGAGTGTGTGAATGTGTGTGAATGTGTGTGTATCTGTGTGTGATGTTTGTGTGAGTGTGTGAATGTGTGTGGATGTGAGTGTGTGCGTGCATCTGTGTATGGGGTTTGTGTGTGAATGTGAATGTGTGTGTGGGGATATATGTGCATGTGAGTGTGTGTGATTGTGTTGGGGATTATGAGTGTTTGTATGTGTGTGAATATGTGCGTGGGGTGTGTAACTGTGTGTGTGTCAGTGTATGTGGGGTTTGTGTGCGTGAGTGTGTGTGGGGGGATGTGAGTGTGTGAATGTGTGTGTGTGGGGATGTGTGTGCGTGTGGTGTGATTGTGTGTGGGGGGTTATGAGTGTTTGTGTGTGTGAATATGTGTGTGTGGGGGTGTGTGACTGTGTGTGTGTATGTGTTATTGCATCGTTGTTAAAAGAAAGGAGCTTAGCCTTGCAGGCCGGCTGCTGGTTGAGGAGGGAGTTGCTGTACTCCAGGCGAAGGAGGTGGCAGCTGTGTTGCCCTGGGGTGGGGGGTGGGAGCTCATTCTCATGCAAAGAAGCAAGTGGGCTTGGGATGTAGGGGAAGAAGGAGAGGGCAGCCGGACCCAGAGCCCAAAGGCCTGTTTGTTTAGCGCAGGGGCTTGAGATGAGCCCTGGGGTAGCTGAGGGATGGGTTCCAAGAAGAGGAAGACGGGATTGCAGGGCACCATTGGCCCAGGGCAGGGACCAAGAGGGTGAAGGAGAGAAGGAGAAGGAACGAAGGAGTGTAACTCCCCCCCTCAGGGCCTGCGGGGCTCTTAAAAATAGCGGAGCAGACTTGATTCTATTTATTTATTTATTTATGGCCTTCTGGGTCACACCTGGTGACGCTCAGGGGTTACTCCTGGCTCTGCACTCAGCAATTGTTCCTGGTGGGGCTCAGGGGGCCATATGGGATGCTGGGAATCGAACCCGGGTTGGCTGCGTGAAAGGCAAACTATTACTATTGCTCCGGCCCCAGAAATGTGATTTTAGAGCCTGCCCCTAAGTGCAGTTTCAGCCTTTCTCATCCTGGACCCCCTGGCCAGTCTTGTAGCTCCTAGGCCGGAAGTGACCCGAGAAAATGTTGTTGGGAGAGACCTCAGTGGTGCTCAGGCTCACTGCACTGTTTGCCCCTCTGGGTGCCTGCTGCAAACACATCCCCATCTGGCTCCTCTGAGCCCTGACAGACTCACTTTGCCCTGGGGCGCAGGTGGCCACAGCAAAGTTCAGGATCCACACCAGAGCTCTGGGTGCTGTCCTGCCTCTCGTCTAAAGGGCCCAGAGAGGCTCTTTAACCCGTGCCGGGTCACACAGCTTACGGGTGCTAGTGCTGTGGCTTAGATTCAGACCTTTGACCGTTTGGCTTTTCCTCAGTGGGCAACATAGAGTGGCAGAGTGTGAAACATGAACTCACCAGTGAGAAACTCAAGTTTCCTCTAAGGCATCCAATTACCTTAGGGAGGAAGTCTCATTTTGGAGGAAGGTGTTTGTTTTTTCACACCTTCCTAACACTTTCCCAACCCCCTTTTAAAAAATGTTTATTTATTTACTTTGCAGCGGGGTGGGGAGGTTGGGCTGTATCCTACAGTGCTCGGGGCTACTCCTGACTCTGTGCTCAGGGACCAAAGAGACATAAGGCAAGTGTCCTTACCCCCATACTCTCTCTGGCCCTGATTTATTTTTATTTTTATTCATTAATATTTTAAATTGAATCACAGCAAGGTACATAATTGCAAGGTTGTTCATGGTTGGGTTTCAGTTAGATAATATTCCAACACCTGTCCCTTCACCAGTGTACATTTGCTCTTCCTCCTCCTCCTCCTTCTTCTTTTCTCTCTCATTCTTTTTGAGCATTCTGTCTTGCAATACAGATATTGAAAGGTTCTCATATCCCTTTACCTACTTTCAACACTCAGTTCTTACCCAGAGTGATCATTTCTAACTATTTTTTAGAAAGAAATAGTTAAATATTTTGAAATAGCCCAAATATTTTTAAGCTATTTTTTTTCTAACTTTTTCTAACTATATTTCTAGCTATTCATAGTGGTCCCTATCCTAACTGCCCTTCATGCTCCACACACTTGTGGCAAACTCCCAGCCGTTGACTAGTCCTCCGGGGGCCTTTTTTCCCTGACCTTAGATATTAGTTTCATATTATTTTTTAAATATTCCACAAATGAGTGCAATTATTCTATATCTGTTCCTGTCCTTCTGACTTGCTTCACTCAGCATGATACTTTCCATGTCTATCCATTTATAAGCAAATTTCATGACTTCTTTTTTCAAACAGCTGCATAATATTTCATTGGGTAGATGTACCATAGTTTCTTTATCCACTCAGTTGTTCTGGGCTACTCAGGTTGTTTCCAGATTTCTTCTGGCCTCGTTTTAAAAGAGATAAGATCTTCAGATGTTGTTGGCCCACAAATCTAGTTGGAATTGAATAATATTTCTTTTGTGCCTATTTTTAATGATTACAGATGGAAAGTCATTCTGTTTTGCCATTTTTTGAAATTTCCATAAAAATCCTCAGGGCACGTGTGTGGTGGGGAGGGAAGAGGGGGGGCTGCCTTTGGGCTACACCCAGTGTTGTGAGTCACTCAGGTCAAAGCCCGTGAGCACCAGGCCAGAAAAGGAACTGGCATCCTGCCCTCTAATCTCTGACTATATCTACAGATTTTCCATTTAAAAGAAAAATTGTGAGTTTTGAGTGATCTTGGAATGGAGCGATAGCACAGCATTCCTCCGCGCCTCTCCGAGAGCCCGGCAAGCTACCGAGAGTATCTCGCCCGCAGGGTAGATCCTGGCAAGCTCCCCGTGACATATTTGATATGCCAAACACAGTAACAGCAAGGCCTCACAATGAAGATGTTACTGGGCCCGCTAGAGAAAATCGATGAACAACGGGAGGACAGTGACAGTGACAGATTTTGTTTTGGGGCTACACCTGGGAGTTTTCGGGCTTCTGCTGGCACCGTACTCAGGGATCACCCCTGGTGGGCGTTGGGGTTTGAGACCCAACTGGCTTGCCCCTTGGGTGGGGGGGTGTTGGGTGCTGGGATCCAACCAAAATACAATGCCAACGCTTTATTAACGACCCCCTGGACAATCTCTTGGACCCAAGAGTGATCTGAGTTGGAAGAAAAGCACTCAAGAGGAGCACAGATGGTGCCCGGGAATAGCAGCGCTGTGCCCCGTCCCCTCTCGCCCCTGCAGGCGCTGTCCCCGGAGCAAATCGCCTTTCTGGGCCCAGAGAACGCGGCCGCGGTGACACCCGCCCAGCGCCGGCAACTCGGCATCTTGCAGCTGCAGAGCCTGCAGCGGGCGCTAGATGGCGCCAAGACTCTCTCCTGGCTGGACGCGCCCTTGAGCGCCGGCCCCACGCAGACCCCCAACTCCGGTTCTCCCCCAGGTGAGCAAGACCGCGGCGGGAGCCCGGGTACCACTCCCTGAGCGCTGGTGCATCGTTCCGGTCCCGGGAGGAAGGCTCCAAAGAGCCAGTGGGGGTTCTCGCGCAGGGATCAAAGACTGGAGAGAAAAAGCCAACATCGTCCCAAGCGTTTGTAGGTGGTTCTGGTCCCTTGGCATCCCGCCTCCTCCTCACTGCCCAGGGTTGAGTAGTAAGTGACTCGGACACGCACGGGGCACCTGCGGGGGCACCTATACTAGATACCAACCCTGCAGTGTCGGCCAGGGACCGGCTTACATGTAAATGAACAAGTTGATTTTTTGGTTGTTGTTTGCTAATTTGGGGGCCACACTCGGTGGTGCTCAGGGCTCACTCCTGCGGGGGCTCAGGGAACCTTCGGGGGAGTTGGGGAGAACCTGGGCCGGCCACATGCAAGGCGAGCGTCCACCCCATTGTACTGTCGCTCTGGCCCGGGCCAAGATGACTTTAAGTCTGATTCCACCGGGGAAGGAACGCAAGAGGGGCTAAGCTGAGAGAGGACATTTGCCTTCGTCTTTCTTCTCTCCTCCTCTTCTTCACTCCGACTCCTTCTGTCTTTAGTGAGAAGCATCTTTGGTGCTAGGACTCGATGTTTGACCCCAGCCTTCACTCTGTGTTTCTAGCCAGGGCGTGTTCAGCTGCCCTGGGGGAGAGTAGATTGGAAGAGTCCCAGTTGCTGCAGACACACCAGTGGCCAGTGGCAGCATTTGCATGGGAGCCAGGACCTTTGATTTGTATTTTTAATTTTCTCTTTTTATTACTATTTTTAAAATTTTTATTGGTGAGACACCATGAGGTACACTTGTAGACTTAGAAATTTTTGTGCTTGGGTTTCAATTATACAATAATCAAACACCCATCCCTCCACCAGTGCCCATTTCCCACCACCACGGATCCCAGTATCCCTCCCACCTCCCGTCCTCCCTATCCCACCCTGCCTCTGTGGCAGGGCATTCGGTTTTGTTCTCTCTTTCCTTTTGGGTGTTGTGGTTTGCAAAAGAGGCATTGAGTGGCAATCATGTTTGGTCTATGGTCTACTTTCAGCATGCTTCTCCCATCCTGGGAGGATCCCCCCAAGACCCTTTATTTGGTGCTCCCTTCTCTATCTGAGAATTATCTGTTTTTAAAGCTTTTACTTGAGATGTAATATGCATCCACTCCTAATGGTTCCCCCCCTAAAAATCATAGTTGTTTGTGTGTGTTTGTGTGTGTGTGTGCATCATAATGACACACTCCAAGATGACAGACACATGGTTCCAACTGTGTGGTCTGAGATGGAATTCTGAGGGGTGTTCCCTGCCATGGGTGACTTTGGAGCTCCCGCCCCCAGTTCCTTTCCCCAGAAGTCACCCACTTGACCAGGGAAGTTGCCCCTTGGGGGTATCTGGAGAAGCCACCATACATTTTTTTAGAAAATGTTTTAATATATTTAATATATATATTTTAATTTTTTTCTTACATTTTTATTAGTGAAACACCATGAGGTACAGTTGTAGACTTACAAATTTTTGTGCTTGGGTTTCAGTTATACAATGATCAAGTACCCATCCCTCCACCAGTGCCCATTCTTCACCTCCACCTCCAGTGCTCCCTGTATCCCTCCCACCCCCCATCCCAACATCCCCCCTAATATATATATTTTTAAATGTTTTAATATATTTAATTGGGTTAAATAAAATAGAAAAGTTACAGTTTCTTTATACTGAATTTAATATGAATACTAGAAATTTTCAATATAGTGTTTCATATTTTTGTTAGCACTGTAAACTTACCAAAAAAAGCAAACATACCAACTTTACTATTGTTGGGGGTAGGTAGCTTTTTCTCTGAAGAGATTAGGAAATAAGTTATGTCATTTGTGCTGTGCTAGATAGTTATCAGTACCATGCATTCTACATAAGCATGTACATAATTATCAGTATCATATATTCTGAAATATTATCAACATCATATGCCCTACATAAGTATCAATATCTGACATAATACAGAGTTATCGGAGACATACATCCCACAGCTATCAATATTGTATATTGTAAAGACTTATCAATGATTTCTGTTTTTTACTTTTTTCTTCTTTATCGAATCTCTATGAGACAGCCCCTTACAAAGCTGTTCATGATTAGGTTTCAGTCATACATTGTTCCAACACCCGTTCCTCCACCTGTGTACGTTTTCCAGCACCAGTGTCCTCAGTTTCCCTCCCATCATCCCCCACCCTACCCCCAGCCTGCCTGTATGGCAGTCACTTGTCTCTCTCTCTCTCCCCCTCCCTCCTTCTTTCCCTCTGTCTCTGTCTCTGTCTCTGTCTCTGTCTCTGTCTCTGTCTCTGTCTCTCTCTCTCTCACATACATACACACACACACACACACACACACACACACACACACACACACACTTTTAGAGGCTGTCTCTGCACTTTCACCAAAGCTCTTCAGATACCCACGTTTCTCAAGGGCTGGTATGTGAGTGGCCAGTTATGAAATCCTGGCCCTGAGCATCACGCATGTGGTCCTGGTGGCCCTGAACACGGTGTGTCTAGGCTTGAACAGTGATCCGTCAGCCCTTACCCAGTTCCCCAGCCTCCCCCCGCCCTACTGGGCAGCTTCTGGGCTGCTCCTTCCAGTGAGGGCTGCGGTGGGCCACCCGCCTCCTCAGCATCAGCACCCCAGCTTCCCTGTTGCTCCCTCTGCTCTGTTACCACAGAGAGGCTGGGGATGCAGATTCCTGGGCGCAGCCTCAGTCGGGAGGAATCAGGATCTGCAGGGAAGGATCCATGATTTGCTGTATTTTCTTTTCCTTTCTGGGTCCCTCCTGGCTGTGCTCAGGACTTACTCTGGCTCTCAGCTCAGGGATCACGCTTAGAGGTGCTCAGGGACCTCTGTGTGAGGTGCTGGGGGTTGAACTGCACTGGGCTGCACACAGGGCAAGCAACTTCACCCTTGGCCCATCTCCCTGACCCCCACGGATTACATTTTTATTTTCATTAAAATTTATTTTACCGATTCAGATTTTGTGGTTTACAATATTAATAATGGGTTTTCCTGCACGTCATCCCAACTACACCCATCACCAGTGTACCCACCTCCCTCTCCCGAGGACCCCAAACACTTTCCTCTCCTCACCCCTCCCCCACAATTCAGTTGTGTCAGTTCTCCCGCTGTGTTGCCTTTGACCCGTTGTCACCCCCTTGCTGGGTCTCTTTCTGGTAGATCATCCTGCAACTGCCCCTTGCCTCCTCTCTTCATTCAGCACAACGCCCTCTACTTCCACCCTTGTTGCTGCTAATTGCCTGAATTTGTTCTTTCTTAGAGCTGTGCAGTATTCCACTGGGTGTCATCACTTCTTGATCCATTTGTCCATAGTCGGGCATTGGGGTTGTTTTTGTGTCTTGGCTATAAGTGTGACAGTGAACACAGATGTGTATTTACTCTTTTGAATTAATGTTTTTGTGTTTTGGAGCTGGAGTCATAATTCAGTACAATGGGTAGGGCGTTTGCTTTGCATGTGACTGACCTGGGTTCCATCCCTGGCATCCCATATGATCCCCTAAGCACTGCCAGGAGTGATTCCTGAGTGCAGAGCCAGGAGTAACCCTTGAGCATCACTGGGTGGGACTCAAAAGGCAAAAAAAAAAAAAAAGAATTTTTTGTGTTTTGGGTATAGATGCCAAGAAATTATATTGCTGGGTAACAATTTGCATATCTACCTATTGATTAATTTTTCCCGGGGCCACACAGACTGCAGCTTCTTCTCTTCCTTCCAAGGGAAGAGAAGAACCATCATCCTCCACCTGGTTTTGGGTGCTCTACGCACCCATGACACCCACAAACACACAGGTCTCTGCATCCTGATGCAGAGAAACTTCTTTAGTATTGAGCTACAGAAACAATCCCTAAAGCTCCCTCAAAGAAAGTATAGTCTTCACAATTTGCATTTTTAAAACTGTCTCCATTAAGAGTTGGTTCTGGCACAGGTAGGATTCCCATGCTCTCTCTCTCTCTCTCTCTCTCTCTCTCTCTCTCTCTCTCTCTCTCTTTCTCTCTCCCTCTCTCTCTAGTTCTCTCTCTCTCCCTTTATATTTTCTGCTTTTGGGGAGTCACTTGGTGGTATTCGAGGTTTACTCCTGGTATGCGAGGATTGAGCTGGGGGGGGGTGTTGTCATACCAGGAGATGCTCAGGACTTACTCCTGGCTCCGCGCTCAGATCAGCCATGTGCCAGGCAAGCGCCTTCCCAGCTGTATGGGGTCCATCTCACCATCTCTCAATCCCCCCACTCCCCTGAAGGCAGATGGGCATAGCCAGGCCCCCTCGGTCTCCATGCATGGTGGCCTGCTGGCATTTCCTTGCAGGAGTCTACATCTCCCGCTGTCTGGGGCTCGGCTGTCCTCTGCTGACTCTGATGCCCAGGCTGGTGTGGTGAGCACCTGCAAGGACCCTTGGGATGCCCGCGGAGGCTGGCCTGGGAGTGAGGAGCCAGGATGCTTTGGACAGTGGGACCGAGAGCCGCACCTGGAGCAGGGAGACGCGAATCTTGACATTGAAAAGGAGGAAGACGCACCATTGAAATGGATCTGGCCAGTTCCTCCGAAGTCGTTCTGGTCCCATGAGCTCTCCCAGTCTGGAGCCAGAGGAGCCGAGAAGAGGAAAGGCGCTTTCCGTGAGCCGCTTGAGAACCTTCTGGAAGAGTGACTTCCCTCCCTCCGGAGAGAGGTGCCAGGCAGCTGAGGGCGCAGGAAGAGGCCCAGGCTGCCCTTCCCTTCCTTGGGACCCCAAGCTGTATCGATTTTGCCCTTTGAGATATTTAGCAGAGCTGAAATAAATGAATCCCTTCACAGAAGCCAATATTCCTGCCTGATTGCTGGGGCTAATTGATGTTTTGGTGGGCACTCGCCTCACTTGGAAATTAAAACATTTAACATTGGTTCAACGTTAAATCAATTTTTAAATACATTTTCCAGATGCTTCCATTTCCGTCCACGTCCGCGGAGTAGACACTGCAGCCGATGTGGGCGGATGGTTCCTATTGGGCTCAGCTGCTCTGGCCGGGCCGGGTGGGATGGGGAAAGTGCACGGGGGAAGGAAGTCGGACTCCAGGTGAGCTCAGCTCAGCCCTGCCTGACCCTTTGCAAGGCCATGGAGGCGGCCGGAGACTCCCAGCCAGACCCTGGGCTATTTCCATTCTGGAAGGCTATTTCCATTGGGGAAGGGGTCAGGCCCAGGTGCTCGGCAAAGCCAGCCAGGGGACCCCAAGCCCCCTTCTCCACACGGGCAGGCCGGGCACCAGCCTCTCTCCTCCTGGCCACACAGCCACTGTGCACACAGCTGACCCGGGTTCGATCCTCGGCATCCTGTATGATCCCCTGAGCCCACCAGGAGTGATCTGAGCACGAAGCCAGGAGTAAGCCCTGAGCATCTCCCGGTATGACAACCCCCCTCCCCCCCCAAAAGAAAAGAAAAGAAAGAAAAGAAAGACAGAGGTGGGCAGACCTGGAACAGCAGTTTGGGTGGGGGTGCAGAGACTTGCGTGCTTGGGGGTGTCATGGGCAAAGGTTAGAGATGAGGGAAAAGGTGGTGCACGGAAGGGGTCACCTCACAGGTGGGGTTCGGGGTCCAGTTGGGTTTG